AATTGTCGTTAAATTAAAATTGTACAGTAACTGATAATAACTTATTTACTATCGTTTGCCGTAATTTTATCACTGTACAATTAGACACCACATCTGCATTACAATTTAAAACAGAATCCTCAACTTGACATACAATTGACGTACAATTGGTCAATTTACTAACACTGTTTGCCGTGTACTGTAATACTAGGCCAGTGGTTCTCAAACTAGACCTACTAGACTAGAGAAGTTTACTCCTGTTCGCTAATATAGTTAGCGAAAGATTTAAAATTACAAATAATTTTTATTTGTCGTTAAATCAAAATTGTACAGTAATACGAGCCGCTGGTTCTCAACCAGGGGTCTGTAAACTTGATCGACTATAGGCGAAAGTTTATAATAGTAATAAGATATAGATGAGTATGGATGCATGTATATTACTCTCTCACGCAAAACCTACTGAACGGATTTTGATGAAACTTTACAATAATATAGCTTATACATCACAATAACAGATAGGCTATACATTTCACGAGGGTGAATCCGCTGGCACAGCTAGTATATATATATTAGGGAACGCTAAAAATTTGTCCTAATGACATCATCAGTTGGAAGAATCTCTAAAAATGCTAATTGAGGAGATCATTTCGCAATTGTATGTACCGATCGGGTGTCAATGAGGCGGTCACGACGTAGGTCGACGTTCGCACATAACTGTTCATTAAAAAAAATTGAATGAATGATACAGTTATAGTATGGCCAGTGTTATTGCATCTCAAAAGGATACTATGGTCGCTCAGTGTTCAAAATTCGACCACATTTTTTTATACCACGTACGTGGCAAACAAGCATACGGCCCATCTGATGGTAAACAGTTACGATAGCCTATGTACATCTGAAACACCAGGGGTGTCAAGTGCGCGTTGCCGGTCCTTAATATAGTTGAATATAATAATTGAATTTTATATATTACGTAGGTGGCAAACAAACATACGGTCCATCTAATAGTAATGGATTACAGTAGCCTATGGACGCCTGAAACACCAGAGGTGTCACGTGCGCGTTGTCGACCCTCAAGAAACCTTAATATAGCCTAGTTGAAAAACCCCATGCTGTTGTCTCTCGAGAAAACCTCCGAAGACAGTTCATTAATTTAACATTCAGTAAGACTATAGACAAATAACATTAATCTGTTCTCAATTTGACCACAGACTTCACAATAACTGTCTGTCAAATACAGGGTAGTTTGTGGAATGTTTATTTTTTATGTAACGTGACATAAAGAATGTTTAATTAAAAAAAATAAAAGTATAGACATCCTACACTCTGTCTCTATATAAACTATAAGTGTGCAAAATTACGTACACCTCCGTTCGCGAAATTTTTGGTAAAAAGGTATAAAATCAATAGACGGCCTTGGTGGACCTTACTTCCGATGGTCGCGGGTTCGGTTCCTCGCACGGTACAAACATTTGTATTGACGAGTATGATTGTTAATATCGGTCTGGGTATTTGCTATCTATATTATGTATGTATTTACAATAAAATGTGTGTGTGTGTTGTGTGTGTGGGTGCATGATATTGTGTGTGTGTATGTGTTTATATATTATTATTATTATATCAAAATGTATGCGTCAGAGAGTTTGTTAGACAAATAAAATACCTGCATGTATGCGACACTGATATTTATGTTTATCACGTGACACCCACTGGTTTGTAAATGCTCCGTTGATTCATACAAACGGTTCTGGCCTAGCCCGGATCCTTATTCATTTGTTCAACCAAACAATGTACCGTGAGTAGGTAGATACAACTAAGTACATGAGTATTATGAGAGTTTACTAACGCAATGATGCAACATCCGCATATTGTATCCATTTAAAAAATAATTAAACAATTATACCATGCTGCATTTACAAAAAAAAACGTGATTTTTTGTAGGTCTTCTCGATTGAAACCATATCCTGTATATAATTAATAAAAAAACTTGACAGACAGTAAAAAATAGGAAAGAGCTCTCTTAGAGTAAACTAATACGTTATTTATAATATAAAACTACCACAAAAATTGCCATAAACATTTCAAATCTTATCTAAAAAAATTATTAAAATTTTTACGTTTTCGAACATTTTAAAATCTAAAATCTAAATCACCATCCCAAGAATCCCATTTAATCAGTTTGTTCTAATTGAATATATATATATATATACTAAACTGGACCGGTAGGTATAATATTAATAAAAAAACTTAACATAGTTCATAAGCGGTTAAAATGTCTTACATAAATAACCTAACCTAACCAAACGTGGAGAAAATTCGGATGTCACTCGTTATGTACAAAAGAATAAATCACGAGAAAAGTGACCCCAGTGATTTAGCGAAGTGATATTTGAAGAGAAAAAAAAAATGTGGTAAAAAATACCCTTTTTTCTAAGAATACAAACAAAAACACACTGACAAACTCACCTTCACTCATCCTTATACCATACCATTTATCTAGGGTCGGCGTAATATGTTTTTCTCTTCCATTCATCCCTGATCGCAGTCATCGTTATTTACTCCCTTGCTATATCATCTTTCAGACAGTCCTTTTTCGGCCCTCCATCTCTTCCTCTGCCCTTATAACCAACCACATTCATACACACATTTCCTAAAATATTCTCAGACAGATAATACTAGGAATAAAAGGAACATGGCAAATAGAAAATTAATTCTAGAATATGTGTTTACGGGAGTCATAGACTTGAAAAGTCAATCCTGATTAACGGCGAGCATAGATAAGAAATAAATTTTTTGCCTTGAAGTAAATCTTTATCAATCACCTTGCAGTATTCCAATAAAATTTTTCCATTGCTCTACGTTTGTGTTACATCATTATTATGCATATTGTCGTAATCAAATTTATCGAAAATCACGGGATATTCGCTGTTCAGATATTAGAATGTTCCTGAAGAAATCAAACATTGACGGGCTTATTAACGATGATAAAACGTGATGGATTATACCAAACATTAGTCACGGGAACTGATCTGATATGACAATAAAATTTGATAGAAATAATCTTAACAACACAAAACAAATTCTCATTGATTTCAACAATAATGTTTTGCATCGTAAGCTGAACAATAACAGCACCACCATCCTCAAGAAATACGTTCTAACCAGAATATATTTATTTATTATGTTCCCGCAACTTATTATTATATTATATTATATTAATTATTATAGCCTATATATTTTGATATATAAGCTATATTACTGTAAAGTTTCATCAAAATCCGTTTAAGAGTAACAAACATCCATCCATCTACACACATATTTTCGCATTTATAATATTAGTAAGATATCACGGTATTTGTGGATTCCCATGCTTTGCTTTCCAGAGGGCGTTTCCTAAAGTTTTACGTTGCAAACCGTATTGTCCAATTATTGGGACTATTTAAAGATTTTATCATTATAAACAAATAGAATAAACTACGTAATAGTAATAAGTAAACTAGAATAAGAAACAATCTGAACAATGTGTTTTATGCCATCACGCCTCCTATTGTGGATGGCACAATAGTTCTTATGATAGCTTATTAATAACCATTTAACAAGAGTCGTCACATCTCTTTAAAGTTATTATGATGCAAAGTGTATGTACATACGATAACATACTGTCAGTACAAAGAACTTGTGCGATATCTGCGAGTGGTACGCAGCGAAACATTAGATACTGTGTTTAATTTATGGAAAACGACATGAAAAAAAAACAGACAATAATAAACCTTATAAAATAAGTATATACGAAATAAATTCAATTAAGTAATACCTGCACGTTGGAGAATGTGTAATTAATAGTGACACATCTGACATTCTTCGTCTAAATAGATCTAGTATTCATCATTTACAGAGACTAAGGAAATAGCGTTATGAAAAATCCTGAATATATTTTGAATAAAGGAAAAAATGTGAAAAAAAAGTCAAAGATAATTTCTCTTTCTAACAATAAAAAAACTAACAAGTTATCACGTCTAATAATATATGAACGGATAGTGTTACGTTTATAATAAATTTTAGCGCAAACCGTATCTGACCAATTCAAGGCTATTAGAGAAACGACAGTTTTGTTCCACAAACTAACGAAGCCGTGGTAAAACGCGTATTTTCTCTGTTCTGTACTAATAAAATTAAAATAGATACAGATACAGAGATTCATGATGACCTATATACGATATAAAAGGATTGAATAACACGGGAAAGCTGAAATAAAAGGAAATATACACAAAGTGAAATTAATATCTAAGACACTCGTACCAAGACGCTGTTAGAACTTTAAAAAAAAAGGTGGACGAAATTCCATTCGCATAACTTTCGTTTCACTATTTAATTATTTCTAAATATTATATCAGAGTAGCGTTAAGATATTTTTAATATGCACGGAAAATTGAATCTCATGCCAGTCATTGTTTGACAAGACAATTGTTCTTAACGAGGACATACGAATACCCTATAATCTTCTTTGATAATATGCTCTGTAATTAAACAATAGAAATACAAATAAAAATAAACAATTGTAATATCGTTTAAGTATGTTCAGTGCAAAGTAAGATTCTTTTGCATATAATTCAATTAAATATCCCATGGATGAGAATGATATAACACAGAATGGTGAGATAGTGAAAGGAAAGTTTGCGTGAAAAATTATAAATAGTTTACAGCATTTACAATGTTCGCACCTAGAGCCATTATCTATTCTTGAAGTCCAGGCTACCTTCACAACGCACATTTATGATGTTTAATAATAAGTTACTGTGGCATTGGAGTGAAGTGTTAGTAAGCAACGTGATTGTGAGTTCACAATTATCTTATCACATGTTCATTCCATTGTCTCCCCATGTGTTGACAAAATTGAAAGGCCATGTTGAATCCTGTCCAAGCATTGCACATTCTCCGATATCACAGACAAACATATAATTTACCAGATCCCTCCACATACTACTTATTTCAACTACAATAATACAATGTACACTACTAACCAGGGCAGGAATTCCAAAGATTCTTGTTTATCCCGTAAACTAGAGAATAGATCAAGCATTACAAATTAGCGATTATACGATACAACTACTAAATATAATAATAGTAATTATTAGGGACTGGCAACAATGTTACCCTATTCAATATATATTCCATAGTTATTTGATCTAAGAGAGTTCATTACAGTTCTGAGTTGAGATTATCATCAATTGATTCCAACAGGGGGCATATTTACAAATTTTGCAAAAGTAATTTTGGCATGCATTATTCTTTTTAATTTAATATTGTCGATGTAAGTTAACAAGCTCTGGTCCTAAATCGCGTTACATTAAATTCTTTAATTTTTTAGTAATTTTTATTGTCTTTTGTTATATAACAATGTTAAACGAATCTACAGTCACGTACATCAAGTCCTTGGTATCCACATGATATGTTGTAAAAACGTAAAATTTCATAACAACAGCGTAAACAATGTAAACATATGGTAGACGTAGACAAAATTTATCAAATAATAAAGCTGTCTTTTTTATATGAACACCTTGATTGAGAATGATGTGCCGCGTCTGTGTGTGTACGTATCGTAGTCATTAATTGCAAACGTTTCAGCGTTATGATAAATAACCTGTGATGCACCCAAACAGACGTGACGTACACATGAAACGTGATTTAGGAAGCCAGATTCAGTGATCGTATTTAAACTGTAGTTGATATACTCAACAATTTAATTCTGCAAGTTCGTTTACAACATTTGATGCTTCAAATTTAATTCCAACTACGGTTTAATTGTTCGTATCGTTCAAATCGTGTCGGTGGGAGGGTCTCGCTAGTGTAGTATGTACACACGCATACATACCCTAGTTGGACGTGTCCAATATGTCTGTTCGGGTCGTCGGATATCAGCGCGCGCGTCATCGACTCAGTGGTATTGGCACCACCCTCGTGCTATCGGACAAACATAGACAAATACAGACATAGCCCAGGACGGATACAATAAGCCCGATACATATGTGACGCAGGCATGTTCCATTGTCTGTTGTAGTAAAAAAGTAGCACCAACGGTTCGCTGTGGAAAAACATTCTGGAGCTACGCGAACTGTACGTGTGCTGTTACCTAGCTATCGCTAATCAACATTCAATAAAGCATCCTGTATTGTTAGTTTGTTGCTACTCAATATAATTATTACGTGTCCAAATTACGGTGTAAGTTCATATGTAAATAAGAGATAAACTAATCAGCTCGCAAGTGTTGTTTGATCGTGACATACTATGCTACTCGTACAAGAACATAAAATAATAATGGCATGCACATGACATGTGTACATAAAGCATGAAGGAATGAAAACAGAAAATAAAACAATAATAACTTTCACGCTCGCTTTCGACGACTCGGATGGACTTCAAAAATAAATCATGTTTCGGGGAAACGTGTTAGTTGAAACTCACTCAGGCAGCTTGGTTAGCACGCTTCTGTCGCTCGCACTATATCACGAAGCGCGAAATTGGGACTGACGACTTGGGGGGTGGGGTCTGCTCTATGCTAAGCTATCATTCCATCACACAAGAAGTCAAAGAGAGTGGTTATGTTGATGATATACTATAAACCGGCCGACTCCAATGCTTGCCTGAGTGGTGATCGGTAGACTCCCGTATCAGCGTCACAGTACAAGCGCTGCAAAAATAATAACGCTCTAGACATACTTTGACTTCGACGCTAATCGCTATTGGATCGAACCACCCCATACACGAGACCTATCACATACTGTAACGTAGAAGTCAAAGAGCGTCACAGAGCGGTTGTAAACAATCGGTCCATACCCCAATTTGAGCGCTTGCCCTCCCGCCATGAGTCCCTCCTCCCCCAGTAGGGTCACTTGTTCCTCCTCACGCGACGGGTCCGCCATCTTGTACACACATACGCCAAAATTGCGACAAGGTCAATGACGAGCCAATGTCAATGTCACAGTCGTGGGAAATTTGATTTATGACCATGAAGACATTAAACTAATATACTAGTAGACACTAATTATAATACACATAAATTAACATCATTTGCCGTTTCCACTTTATGGTGGCGTAAAAAAAGTACGATGTGACATTGACGTTGTGACGTCATTGACTTACTCAAAAACGCAACTGGATGATCCAGTCGTTGATTATTGTTGGTTTAAGTCCAAATTTTGATGATATCGATTTAAAATAAAGTAGTAGGAAGACCCACGACCTTGATTAAAAAGAAAATTATGTTCGCAGTGTGAGAATCCAATTAATAAATGAATTAGTAATACTCAATTATATAACTGTTATTCAAGTGCTTGTTACTTAGATAATATAACTTAGCAGTAATAATTTAAATATAATATTAATGAGACATTGACTGAAAACAAGAGAACAATAAATAAAGAAAAGATGAGATCAAATAAAGTAAAATTTGGAATCGATCGTTGAGCTAATTTTTTCTACAACAGCAATTCTAGCCTTGACTTCACACTTAGCGCCAGTGCCATTGACATTCATTTATAGGTTTTTTTACCTCATCCTACTGTATGTACATAACTTGAACATAATTAGGATTAAAGTACAGCCTCGCTTGCTATGCATAGTTTCTATCAATCATAATGAATTGTAAATGTGGAGACAGAAATTACGTCCGTCGTGGTCGTAACAAATTACGATGTTGATTTTAGTGTACGGAACATGGATTATCTTATCGGACGAAAATCTAATTAATTTACAATGGTCGACAGGAGTGACGGAGTTCGTTGCGTCAGTGTAAATAGGCATCAGCGTATTCGACAGTAATTGATTGGAAATCATGTGATTTGTGTCGAATCGCGTGGCATTAATTGTTTGCTGTGTAATTATTGATTTTTATAAGACAGTGTTGCCAATTTTACCTTCATCAAAAATGCTATTATTTACATATGATTATACCACTTTGTAATATTTCTCTGATTGTTCTTGCATTTTTCGATGCAAGACTTGTATTTTGCACTTACCTCGTCAAAGAATACTTGTGTCTTCCTAAGAATATGCTTCAGTTCGGTCAGCTCAAGGAAGTTCCTCTTCAAGGCCTCCGCATTCTGGTTCACTTCACGGAGCTCATTTTCTAGTTTCTCGAAGGTGGCCTAAAGTATGGTTTATTATTACACTGTGTCCACAGGAAAGTGGAAATATAGATGTAAGAATATATGGAAAGGTGGTACTAAAGTTTCTAAAGTACTTTAGTCTATTTTGTCTACATAACTCCATTATAATCGAAATATACTAACTAACATAATATTCAATATTCGCCTTTGAAAATAATAATGTTCCTTTCCATCTCATAGGCATGAGAATAATAGTCCAAAATTATAATAATTACAGTACCTACAGTCAATTTGGAGTCAATTAGTCCTTTTTCTAACAATATACATATATTTTCAGATCGACATTCAAATATAATCACTTTGATAACACCTAGTCACCGCAGTTAATTTCTGGTGAATATATCACAATGGGATGAATCACATGATTTCATACTCTCTCTATTCAGCCTCCATTAGAGCACTGTTAACGCAGATGGGTTTATAGTTCTATTTCACTATTGATGATAAGTTAAAAATGCCAAGGGTTAACAAATCCTGTTAATTTTTGAACAGGATTATTGTTCAAAATAATGGAAGACATTTTGAATGGAAAGAAATTGTAATGTTTCTATTTCAAAAAGAATTACTGTATCGTGATGGAACGCAACTGTTAGGCGTTTGTTTGTTTGTCTAGCGTGAGTCTGGACTCAGACACACGCGTGAATAGTGTTGTATAACAGTTTTTAGATATATAGGTATTAGATAATTGTAGTTGTGATTAGCTAATGTTTGGAGCTTTCAATGCAAAACAGTAAACTAATGCATTCAAACAAGACTCGCTGTTACGTTTAGTAAAATTAAGATTATAAATTAAGATATTTATTCTATAAACACAAAATAAATATCCTAATTTTTAATGTTCTTGGGAATTCTTGGGGTGCATGAGGTGACCAAAAATGACTAATAAATAAAAAAGTAAACAATAAAAAAGTTGCGAAGTTAACATGTTTTAGAAAGATCATAACGAGGAAAACGAGGACGATGTGAAAGATGACATAAATCTTTCATAAATATGAAAGACTAAACTTAAAGAAAAATTTGAAAATTGATCTTTAAGTTTAGTCTTTCATTTAAGGAGAATAATGTAAAGTTTATAAAGATCAGACAGTGGTAGAAGGAAATTATGACGACACAATAATTACTATTGGTCTGTGAAATGCTTTAATTTCCTTAAGTGTAACTGACGACGAATATATGAAATATTAACTCTTAACTCAGAACTTACCTCAAGGTCGATCATCTCCCTCGGCTGCGGTGCCTCCGGGCACTCTCCCGGGATCTCCAGCATGGGGATCCCGTCGCGGCGGATCTCTTTCTCCAGGTAGCGGAGCTTCCGCTCCATCTCGTCGCAGCGGCGGACCTCATTGACGAACTTGCGTTGAAACGCGTTCACATCCGGGTTCAACTAAAGGTAATAAAGTGTTTATTTAATAAGCTGTGTCCAGACAATTCAGGTAAATATATTCTACTAGCAGTGCCCGCAGTTTCACTTATTATATATATATATAGGTACTATGTTTTATTCTTGTGTAAAGGCTATATTATTGTAAAGTTTCATTAAAATCCGTTCAATAGTTTTTGCGTGAAAGTTACTCTTTGAAACATCCATTCATCCACTTACAAACTTCCGCATTTCTAATATCATTAAGAAATAAGATGTGACCTTCCATTTTAATATGTACAAATTGAATATACAACTGTTTAACAAACATTCAAAATACCAACTTCAATAGTCTTTATAAATAGATGTTATATAGGCATGAAATGATGTGTGCAAGTCAGTTCACTCTGCCTACCCCATAAGGGAAATATAATTTTATTGTATTTCAAAACAAAATATCCTAAATATTTAATATATGTAGATAATTGGTGGCTCTTCCTGGCTTCCCCCATATGAAAACAGCATTCCAAATTAGTAGCATAAAAGACATTACTGTTTGAGAGTGATAAATAACTAACTAACTTACTACTAAGTTTATTTAAATAAAAAATATTTATTTCCAACTAATGAAATATTTTTAAAAACAAGGACATACAGTCCCATAGCTAAAATAGGTTTATTATGTTTGATATAATATCAAAAAGTAAGATATATACAACATATAAGATAAGATACAACAAGTATTACAGAAAAAAAAACCCTCATCAGAATGGTGAGTATTTGCCATTCACCATCCTGATAAGGGATTTTTCTAAGGTGCTGCACCTTATTTTAACTCATCCATATTTGCTTTATAGGGGCATTGACAATAAAATAAATAGCTAAACATTCAATTAAAGAGCATTATATAAGCTAAGATAATTACAAGTACAGCAGATAAGATATTTTTTTTACCAAGTTGATATGTATTAGTTATTACTAGTTATCTATCAACTGAAACATTAAATTATTACCTGAAATAAATTATCAATTATAGATTACAAGTCACATTTTTTACCATCACATGACCAATTATTTAGTGATAAAAAAGTAGGTTACCTAAGTAAAGTTCACAAATTATATCATAAAGAATTCTAACTCAGAAATAGAAGTTAACTTAATCAAATAAATTTAATAAAAGCACTTATACATTTTTTATTCCATCACCAATTTGGAATGCAGATTCAGCCAAGAGGAATAAGCAAATATGACATTTTTTATTCATATTAATATTTTAAGATTAAGTGTGAATACCTTTAATTCTCAAACTTACAAAATAATAAAATATATTGTGAATTTGTGAATTGTTTATTTATTAATTTTTATTCATAATTTATTGCACCTTAAAAAAATACCAAACAAACCAATATTCATAGTATCTAGATACAAAATGCAGTCTTATTGCTTAAGCAATTAGTTACTTTAATAAACTTTTTTAATTAGGTTTTTAATTCCACTGTACCTTTTTTTGTGAATTTACAATAAAGATACATTACATTAAAAAATTCACTATATTTGTAAATTATGACCTCAATTTGTGAATTATCACCATCTGACCATGTTAATGTTAGTCATGACATGACTGAATACAGTTTGATTAGAGTACAATAAGTGTAATGTAAAAAACCGAATTTTCTTGTTTGTTATACTGTTAGAGGTATATCACAAATGAGTAGTGACTCAATAATAATAACATATGAAATCTAGATGTCATAGAAGTTTAGGAAATTTAATACCTGTATTACTTGTTTAAATTTTCATAAAAATCTTTATATTCTCAACAGTTTTTCAAATGTACTGAAGTCTCAATAAGGAATGAACAATTTGTTTAGTCATTTCTTATTTAATATTTGTATAATCAACTACATATAGCATATTCTAACTGAGCCTGTGACTTAGTACATATGTAACATTTGTATTACAGTCATAATATGTTAATAAAGTTCCCCAACAATAGTTTTCCTCATATATCTTTCATATACAGACAGGGATCAGTTACATTCCTATTCTATTTATAGATATATAAGTTTTATTTAACATCAATTAATACACAAAGTCTTTCCGTGAAAGATAAGTAAGTGAAGTAAAGAAGTCAAAGATAAGTTTTTTTTTACAATTAACACAGCACCAACTATACAGAGCTTATGTTATAGGTACTAGACAACTGATATAAATACTTGGATATATATATATTTTTGTAAATACATGCATAATATATATAGAAAACACCCAGATCGATACAAACAATCATGAATAAATGCTTGTACCATGCAAGGCATCAAACCCGTGACCATCATAAGAAAAGCAGTGTGCTAAACTGCTAAACCACTGAGGCGGTCAAGTTCTCAGAGTCATTCTTTTTAATTTACATAACAAACACACAAGATGTAATAAATACTAGACAATCTCATTATATACACAATTCAATCACTACAATTGTAAATTGACAATGCTTAAATGAAATGAGCTATCATTATGTATGCTAATACATATTGATGGGTCATTTTATTTATAGAGGAAGTTGAAATCATATTCAGATTACATTATGAATCCACTCACATGTTTTTGTATTATATAGAATAGATTAAATAATGAATAATGATTTGCTTGTTTTTGTATTCTATGGAATATATACAGAACTAGCTGTACCTGCGACTTCGTCCACATGGAATTTAACTATATTTTCCTAAAATAAAATATTTTTTCTAATATAAAAATAGCCTAAGTTACTCCTTATTATATCAGCTACCTGCCAATAAAAGTCCTGTCACAATCGCCATTTCAGAGATTAGCCGGAACAAACAGACAGACAGATAAAAAATTGCAAAAATATTATTTTGGTGTATGTACCATATTTATATTCATATGCATGTAGTACAACATTTTTACTTAAACATTACAAACAGACACTCCAATTTTATTTATATGTATAGATGTATAGATAACTTTGTGAAGTTATTAATGAAAAGTGTATGTACAACTGTTTTCTGTATTCTATGGAATATGTACATCATAACTATGAAGTCATTAATGAAAAATAAATTAAATTATACTGAAATTCTATTCTTTTATTCTGTGGTAGGTATATGTACAATTGAATAAGAATAAATTTGATTGTGAATAATGAAGTTATTAATTAAATAAATGTATATTTAATAGAGTATGTTAACAAAAATCTTAGAATCTCTTTTTGCCAAAATAATGATATAAAATTAGAAAGGTTATTTACACAGATAATAATATAGAATATAATTTTTATTTTAACCCTTAATGCAAAAAGAGGTGTGTTAAGTTTTACATGCCTGTGAGTATGTGTGTTTATCTGTGGGATTATTGCTCCTACATTAAGGGACAGATTCCTAGTGAATTTGTCACGATGGGCTAACTGACCTGACCTTATGTTCATCTTATCATCCTCCACTGGTACCTCGCCACCATAAACCGTTAGCGCAGGCGGGTACACCACTTCATTATTATCCCCAAAAAAAAGGGGACTGATTATGATGCCGTTTTATGTTTTTTTTAACTCAGCATCATTGAGATGGTTCTCATCTACAGTTTTTTAGAGTATTCCTTTTTATATGGAGGTCGCTTATAGTTTTTAATTCTATAAATAACTGAGTAATTCCTATTGAGATACATATTAATATTGATTGTCTTTCGTGACTTGACGATGTCAAGAACTTAGCATATAATAAGCAAAAAGGAATCTCTGTACAGACTATAGACAGAGCATGTGTACAGAGACAGACTGACAAAGTTATAATATTATGATATTATGTACAGACAGTGACTTAAAACTATGATGTGGAATACAATCTCCATGAACGGGGTCAAAGTTTTTCTATAAAATATCTGTGTATTATATTGTATGTTCAATACTGATGATTCATAGAGAAAGCTCTGTACTCACGTCCCGGAACTGAACAAGCCCCAACTCTCCCAGTTCAGACACGCATGCATACGCTGCTTCACTTTGCAAGAAAAGTTGGCATAATGTCATTTCTTCACTTCTGAATAACGACCCCATTTTGCAGGTTTTTTAACGATACACTCAGAACAATAAACTTTTTACGAACGAAAACGAAAGGTTTCGTCGCATTAGTCTGCGGACAGACTTCGGCGGCGACGAAACCGAATTAAATGGAAAAATCAATCAATAACAAAGATTCTTCCATCTGATAAAATACATGCCGTAAGGATAAAAGTGAACTGTCAACGAGTGAACTGATTGACGAAACCGTACATAACTGAAGTGGCAAATGTGGAACTGCGCAACTGGCAACTGAATGATTAAAGAGTGACTGAATGAAATCTCCTTATCAAAAGTCAATATAGGGATCACACTCCCGAAATTTAAAGTCCCATTGTAAGCAAAATGATGTCAGAAGACATGAAAAAGGCAAATGTATAGTTTGTAAATTAAACTTTGTCAACGAATATTAACTTTACTGTCACTATATTTTTAAGTAGATATATTATCAATGATAAATTATCTAAAAAGAATTGTAACCATTTTAAAAAATAATAAGGTACATACAACAGTTTTGATATTTTCCTTTTAGTGTCTAGAAGTATCTACGTAAACATTTATCCACTATTAATAGTATGTAAATAAGTATGTTCGTCAAAGAAACAATCAACGTTGGAGTAATTCTAACTATGGACAGCACATTTCTTGTGACTGTGTTGAAAGTTAAAAACCTAGATTTAAATCTCATGCTTAATCTGAATGTAATTGTACATATTGGAATGAACATCTGACTAAATTCTTAATTCGGTTATATTTTCCCTACTATTAGTATAATGTAATTTGTTTATGTGATTTTATACTTATTATCTTTATTTACAGAAGTTTCCTAAACAATAATTTGTATGCTAATTGCTCAAAAGACGGGTATATTATTTTGTTGGTTACTCTTGAATCATCCACCTCTTTCTCACTAAGTTTCTGTCCCTTTTTCACTATTGATTATATTAAATTAACATTTACGAAGTAACCCACCAAAATGACTATAAATAAAAATAAGTGTACATTTTTATAATCACTGTGCATCTTTCTTAAAATCTTCCGTCGTACATTGCAGTTGATTACATCTATTTGAAGGAATAATTTGTTCATTTACAATGAGTAATTTTGCTTCTAAATGAAGAATATGATATACACAGTATTTGTAAATGCTACAATAGACCATGTATTACCCAACCAAATTAAATATTACACAAGAGTAATTTTTCTTATAGTTTCTCTCTTTTACACTTATAAAGAACAAATATAGCTATCTCTTTATTTATCTGTGACATTTCAATTAAATTACCTCCAATTAGTGTGGGAGTTAGTTATGAATTGAGGTTAGAAATTGAAGCTTAAAATAAAAATAATTTATTATTAGACCATGAATAGCATTTACTCTGAATGAAAAACGAATCAAAATGGTATATATCTGTACTTTATGCGATCCTTATTTTATTTAGAATTTAATATATGTTATAATTTTACATAATTGTTACTTTACAGGCCCTACTTGGTGCTCAACTTGTTATTACTCTGATAATGGTGTCAGTGATTCAAAAATTAGGAAACTACTCGTTTGCCAGGTGGCTGTTATGTTCACAAGGTTTATATAGATATTTGTATCCAGACAATAGTGAATTGAAAACTTTGGCAGGGGTACCAAAAGACAAGCCAAAGGGTAAGAAAGGGGGTAAGCATGATTCCAATGGGAAGCCAGAAACGTTTCACGTGCCCCGTAGTCTTGATATACAACTGGAAACGGCGCCGGTGACTCCACTAGATGTAGTGCATTTAAGGTTTTATACAGAGTACCTGTGGATTGTAGATTTTTCTCTGTACACTAGTATAGTATACATTATGTCAGAGGTGAGTTTAGTTGTTATAGCATGTCTTAAACATTGCTTAATATTAATTGTTTAGACACATATATTCTTTATATACATAAAAGCTTAAATTCCCTATAAACCTATTTTAACTTACATGCTTTTTCAGTTTCTTTCAATAATTGAATTGTTTGACCTAATAAACAATTAGTCACTTGAAAATAATTACTGATAGAGTCTATAAGTGTGATGAGGTCTTAGACTACCGGTCTATAGGTGACAGATTTAATATAATGTTACATGCGACACACACTCAGACATATGCCTGCTTGTATAAACATCTAAATATATATAACTCAAAGGTGACTGACATAGTGATCTATCAATACACAGCCCAAACCACTGGATGGATTGGGCTGAAAATTGGCAAGCAGGTAGATGTTATAACGTAGGCATCAGCTAAGAAAGGATTTTGATTAATTCTACCCCAAAAGGGGATGAAAGTTTATATGAAACTTTGTCAATTTTAAACCGATCGGGCTGAGACTTTGCATGCATAAAGCTACTATGACATAGGCATCCTCTAAAAAAGGATTTTGATAAATTCCACCCCTAAGGGGTGGTAATAAATTAACGCGAATGAAGCCACGGGCAAAAGCTGTTCCAAACAATCTCTTCTTTATGTTTCTTTTCTCTTAATTATGTTTAGTAAAAGGTATCTTTATTTATAATTTATAATTTTTTTTTTCTTTTCTACTATACATATTATAAAATAAAGTTCTCATCTACTGTTTCTTTGCATATATATTTTAAATTATGCAAAGGATTTTAATACAGTTTTTAGCAATAGATAGAGTGATGAAGTTTAATATGTAATACATGTACACCCATCCAAAGCTGTGGCAAGCAGTTAATTAAATATAAACATATTATATATTATGGATTCTTTGACTAATAAACATACTTTATATTTACAGGTGTACACATCAATATTTCCATTGAAAGATGAATTCAATTTGAGTATGGTATGGTGTTTCTTGGTGGTACTGTTTTCATTGTATCCTTTTATTTACATGCATCTCTACCCATGACCAGGAAATATTATAGCTATGTTATAATAAATATTGCATTTTGACAGTCTCAGTGGTCTAGAGATGTGGCACGCCAATTTACTTCCAATGGTTGTGGGTACGATTCCTCACACAGTGCAATCATGAGTATGATTTTTTTATTCATCTGGTTTTCTCTATATTACTTATTTTTTATTTTGTACCCATTACACAAGCTCTGCTAACCTTGGGAATAGTTAACACTGTCTGAATTGTCCAGAAAAATAATTAAAATGTATGCAATTGTTTATAAAAAATTTTGATGACCATAACTCAAACACAGAAAAATTCTATTATCACTTACAAAACAGTATTTCACAAGTGAGGAATCAATTGGCGAGAGATCAACGTGTATCGTGGCATTCTGTATATTCCTACTGATAGCTATGATGGTGTTAATTGTGGATGACAGTAACTTGGAGGTGGGAGTGGACCCCGCATACGACAGCTTTTATGAAAACGCGTCCAAGTTCTTGGAGAATCAAGGGTTATCATCAGTGTAAGTCATTATGAACATATAATACTATAATTAATAAAACATCACAATATTACCATATGTAATTAAACAAAAACGAAGAACACGATCAGAAAGTATATCAAATGTATGTGAAGATACGTTATGGGTTAGTTTGCCGAGATGAATATCGAACGAGTTTCAATAGTAGCAACAAACGAAGGCGTGTGAATGAAATGAATGAAATTAAGTAGATGCATATGTCTGCCCGTAAAAGATTTTATTTACCATCTACCCACTGCTCTTCAGTTTACCCGTGATCATGGCAGTGCAGTGTTTCTCTGCCGAAATAACTCAATAAAAAAAATGTGGTAAAATCCACGAATCACGATTAAAATCCATGATTTTTACTAATTATACATATGAATAATGAACGCGTCAATTTTAAAACAGTATATGTGCATATAATGTCTAAAGATGTTCTAGAAGTACTTGTATATTATTATATAATAAAAATAATTAATGGTTACTATATATATAATTAAAATATTATTTAATGGTTGATAATGAAACGGCGCACTCAAACGGTATAATCTAGTGGGGCACGAGTGGACGATGATAAGATGAAAACGTGGTCAGGTCCGTTAGTCCATCATGACGAATTCACCATGAATTTATCAAGTCGGTTTCTAGGGGGAACCGCGTGGAGTCAACTTGACATGGCCATTGCTAGCGATGGGGTCATCCATCCACATTAATAACAATGCCCTTCGCTTTTCCTACACGCGGATCACGGAATGTCCTCTCATTTACTTTTGACTAAATGGCATCGTATACGATGGACAAAAATGAATCCATATTTTTGTAATAATGTACACTGTGAATCTATAGAATGCTGTGTTCGAAATATGAATAGAAGTTCCTCTCATTTACTTTTGACTAAATGCAATAGCATATGCTGGTGATCACTACATTCTTACTAATTTGAATTAAAAATGAATCCATATTTTTGTAATAATGTACAAGCTGATTTTAAAGTATAAGAACTGGTTTACTTCTCAGTTCTTCTTAGCTGGAAAGCGCAGTGTTAGAGTGTAATATGAATAAAGATATTCTGATTTGATACCTTTAACTTGTTTCCAGTGGTCCTGCATCCAAAAAGACTTGATATTAAAAAGTTCTGTGTGTATGGATGAATTATTACTGTACTGAACGGATCATTTGATGAAACAATATAGCTAATACATTTTCACTTATTAATAAAAATCTTTAATAATTGTAATAAATGTGTGTATTTCCCAAAAGGGTTCACAGAGAAGAAGTAACAAGTCAAAAGGGACATATAAAGAATAGATATCAAAAATACAAAGTTATATATATATGTATAAAAAGAATGCGTTGAATTAATTATTTATATATAAATATATAGCGTCTGTTTGTAATATTGAAATAACCGAATGATGAATATAAATACTGTACATACACCAACATAACATTTTATATACAATTTTTGTCTGTCTGTCTAACGGAAATGTAATTATGACAGGACTTTTTTTAGGATGGGTAATGAGGAGTAACACCATTTTAGAAAAATAAAGTGGAGGATATAAAATGTAAATTGGACGAAATATAGTGATTAATGTAAAGTATGATGCGGACGAAGTCGCGCGGGTCAATTAGTAGTGAATATTAATTATGTTACAGATACTATGGTGATAGCAAAGTGAAAGCATTATTGCTGAATGCTAACTTTGCGATGCCGTTCATGTTGGTTTTACTGTGGGTCCGTCCTATCACCAGGCATTATCTTACTGTCCGAGTGTTCAGCGGGATGGAAAAACCGCTGTATGTATACTTAACTGTTAATTTTATTTATTTCCAATCAGCTTTAAGTTGTTAGCTATCTATATATGACGGGCTTGGTGGTCTAGCGATTTAGCACACCGTTTTACTCCTGATGGTCGCGGGTTCGATTCCTCGCACGGTGCAGACATTTGTATTTATGAGTATAATTGTTTGTATCAGTCTGGGTGTTTTCTATGTATAATATGTATATATTAATGAAAAAAATCTATGTATTTATATCAGTTGTCTAGTAACCATAACACAAGCTCTGCTTACACACAATATAGTCCAAAAGTTTCTAGAAAATAAGCATTATGGAGGACCGCCATTTATCCAGATGATAAGGATGGTATTTTAGTTTCTGGTATTTTTTTTTTTGCTGGTATTCATATGAACACTTTCTAAGAACACACACTCTGTGATATACGGTAGAAAATGCACAAATGATATCACATCGCAAAGCCATCTCTGAAACGGCTGGACTAATTTTAACGGAACATTCACTCGCAGATAGCTAATCTTGTAATAAGTAACTTAGGCTACTATTGTTTTAGATTTTTTATTTATTTGAATAAAGATAAGAGTTATATTCACGCGGACGAATAATAGCTAATATTAAATATATTTTTCAGTATGACATCAGATGCATTCGACACCCTGCGACTAGTGTTACTGGTGTGTACAGTGGTGCTCCGACTTGGTCTGATGCCGCGGCAGCTGCAGGCCTACCTCGACATGGCGCAGCGGAGACTCGACCTGCAGAAGAAAGAGGCCGGCCGAATCACGAACATTGATTTGCAGAAAAAGGTCAGAAATACATATATTTCAATGAATAAAGTGAATTTTCGTGAAATTGAATAAGTTATCAGAAATTAGCCATTTAGTTGAAAAAATTAAAGAGTTAATATTAAAGAAAATGCAAATGTAGCTGCGGATTATATAAGGGTTAGTTGGAAATTGTATATTAAGCGGTAACAACTAACTTTTGTTCTACAACTTTCCCTGCAACCATATATATTTTTCGAGAAAATTGGGTTCAAAGTTTTTATATAAAACAGGACTTGACACTGGTCTTTTGTACCCCCTAGGGGGTGAAGGTTGTGGCCTCGGGGCGAGTCCTTTTGCCCCGGCATCCACTCCAGGGATAACAACCCCCGAGTAACTGGGTTGACAGCCTTTTCGGGCGGGTTTCTAAAACTAACTTAAATTCTACAATCTTGAGATTAAAATAAATAAAAACTTAGGTTTGAAATAGATGGCGGTGTGTGAGATATTATTATTCAGCCCTTTAGTCGTTATAATATATAATAATAATTTTTATTTGTCTCAAACAAAAACTTTTTACACAATAGAAGTGTTGCCCATACAATAATATAATTTAAAACTAATGAATGAGACAAAACGGTTTAAAAATATATATGTTTATCTACAATATGAGATCAACGACGACGATAGCATATTAAGTTAAGTTCTAAACTACAACTAACAAAGTAAGGTAAGTTAGCGGGTACTTTGGAGCCGCTATTATTTATGTAGATAGTATTGTAGTAGATTGTGTGTGTTGGCCGCACTTGTATTGTAGTAAACCCCAGAAGGACTTATGGAGCGGCTGGAGGTCAACTCCTGCCTGACGGATACGACTTTAGTCTGAGGGCACCACTAGGGGTTCGAACCTCGGCTCAGGCCGTCGTAATTTCGATCCCCGTTTGAATTGGACGGGGGATCAATCCGAGGGGTGAGACCAGGTTGTGGCTATGTACATATTTATAATAACGAAATATTTACAATGAATATATACACAAGTAAGCGATTCGGTCTCGAATGACTGGCCAGTTATTTTATTGTTCACTCGTAACTAGGCAACGGTGTTGCCGTGTGATAATAGTTAATTCGCCACATGTTTAAATTATTAATTTTGTATCATAAATATAATATATAACTTCCAGATAGCATCAGTGTTCTACTACTTGTGCGTGGTAGCACTGCAGTACATATGCCCCATCGTAATGTGTTTGTACATGGCGCTCATATACAAAACCCTCGGAGGCTACTCCTGGACGGCGCTGTTCTATGAACGCGAGGAGATATGCACAATGGAAGACCAGGTGACTGCCAAGGACGGAGACACAGATGGTGTGGACCAGTATCAACTCGCTTGGGAGAATTTGAAAATGGTATAAAATATATTTGTCTGGATAATTTCTATGTATACTATATCTGTATTTACAAGAAAAAATCTAAGTATTTATATCAGTTGTCTGATATTCATAACATGAGCTCTGCTTGACTTGGAACTAGATGGCGCTGTGTGAATCGTCCAGGGTTATTATTAATATTAGCTTATGCGTACTTTCCCGCTTAGAATTGCTGATTAAATTGGGATGTTTTTTTATTTGCAAAGAATAACAAAATCTCAAGTCTTGTTTAGAATAAAACATGCTTAAATTTAAGTTTAATTGAATAATTATTGATTGCATTGGGATTTTTTTTTGTTTGTAAATATTTAAAACATCACATGTCCTGTTTAGAATATTCAAAAGTGCTTAAATATAATAGAGAATTTTCAATTCTATTCTATTCTAGGTGTTCACGCAAGAAGTGCATCGGGGAACGTTCGGATTCGCGACGTGGTGGTGCTGCTTCGCCTGGTTCATCACCACGTCACTGGGGCTCGGATATCAGACATACTTCAGAATCTCGTGATGCTAAAACATAGTTATGTACTAAATAATCAAATAGTATTTTATACTACGGCTTTATTAATTGCAAAGACATTATCTGCCTTTACACGGACGTGAGTGATTACATTTTACTATATTTTGTGTTCTCTCTTTCGCGAGTGATAGTGTATGTTCCATACCATTTCACTTTGTTTTGAAATTTTATTTCGTACTAGCTGACCCGCGTTACTTCATCTGCATCACACGTTACGTGACTGCTTTAGCGCTAAGGTGCTTTTGCGCCTTTTTGTAGTAATTAATTACAAAATGGCGCTAAAGCACGCACGATTGAATGCGTTCACGGTGCCACCGTCGCGGTCATTCTCGTTCTCTTTGTCTACATTTATAACTAGCTGTTCGCCCGCGTGGAATTTAACTTTATTTTCTAAAATAGAAGTAGCCTAAGTTACTCCTTACTACATCAGCTACCTGCCAAAAAAAGTCCCGTCAAAATCGGTCCAGCCATTTCAGAGATTACCCGCAACAAACAGACCGACAGACAGACAGACAAAAATTGTAAAAAATGATATTTTGGTGTATGTACCGTATTTATATTCATATGCATGTAGTAAAAAACGGTTATTTCAATATTACAAACAGACACTCCCATTTTATTTATATGTATAGATGTACCTATAGATAATCGCATTCTCCTTCTTTCTTACGTTAAAGTTGATTCGCACGTGAAAGAGCACGTAAAGGCAGCTATTCGGTGAGAAGTCTATCTTCATTGTACAGTAATTAACATCTGAATTTTGTACAAGTAGGTACATTTTGATACCTGCTTTAGCAATTTTCGCATATGTAACTTTTCGCCCCTTTGCGATTATTGAGGCCGTAACACGATATTAATTGGATTTATTTCAATGTTTGTGCCATTTTTATACGAACTAATAGAAAATGAATATAATAAAGTAATTTCAATAAATTTTATATTGTGAAAGATGATATTTAGGTTGCAAATTGTTACAAAATTATTTCTCAAGAGTATTCTTATTAATTTCTTAGTTTTTGTAATCAAATTTAGGTGAAACCTAGTTTTGAAATGAAGCGCACATAATTATGTTATATTCTAGATTTTATTAAGAATGATTTTCTAGTATTTTTTTTAGTGAACGCTAAATAGAAAAACTCTATAAGCGTTTGGAGTTGTTGCAGAAAATTCTAAAGACTTGTCCCTGTAGTGATTGTTTTGTAATTATTTATTCTATTTATATGGTATTAAGTGTTATTTTGTGTAAGTCTAGCAATATCACTATTAGTGTGAGTGAACTCTTTTTGAGGACGACTAACCTCAAAATTAAATTGTGTTTTTGGTATGCGTTTTTGTATAACTGTCAACTGATTACAATTATTACTCTGTCTTGAGATGAATAACATTGGATGTCATAGATAAACTCATAAAAATCATAAACATTAACATGTGCTCTTCAATGTCACTGACATATCTTATACCACAAAGAGTAACTGTATGCACACAGCAAACCGATAATACAACATATTTCTCTTTTTTCCGTTGTACTCCAATAGTGTTGGCCGCAGCTGGCTTTTACAGCTCCACCGAGCGAAAGGGAGCGAGTGTAGATGTCACTCCAAACCCGCGGAAGGACTTATGAAATGGCTGAAGGCCAACTCCAGCCTGACGGATACGACTTTAGTCTGAGGGCACAGCTAGGTGTTCAAACCTTGCCTCAGGCCATCGTAATTTTGATCCCCGTTTGAATTGGACGTGGGGATCGATCGGATAGAGTATCCCATAATTGTAAAGTTTCATATTTCACTTCCCACCCCTTATCCATTCAGAAACGGTTTATGGCTTAAAAATGATATATTGGAATATGTTTTTGAATCTCCCTTATATATTTTTATTATGGTTAAGATTTATGAAAGAAAGCCTCGTGGGAGGAGCAATATTTGTAATACCTCTCGAAATTCAAACGTAATTAAATAATTTTACGTACTTTTTATGATATGTTAAAATAGTCCTAAAATAATGTTCCCGAAGATTTAGAATTTAATGGCAAAAAGTCTCAATAATTTGGAAATATCAGAAACAAAATCCCACAATATATATATTAAAGTTATATAATAAATTAAAAAAAATATAAAGTAGTTGTAAATTTTAAAGACAGACAAATTAATTACAACTAGTTTTTCTATTAAGTCCAATTTTTTATTATTATATCGAAACAGGAAACCACAGTTTGTATTAATAATTAACAAACATTGAATTGTAGTTTTTTTTTTAATAGGCACAGACAATGCCTATACGCGGTCTTTGATATAAACACTTTTAATATTGTAATGTGAATATTAGTAATATACAATTATATATAGTTGTATATTTAAGGAGTTGTTATGTATTAAGGAGCTTTAGACCAAATGTGAGACGACATTGAACACAAAATTGAATGAACTAATTTAATATTATAGAAAAGAATCACTAAGTGCATGAAAATATTATAATATCAACATTTTATCTCATTTCTCTGTTGTATTATTTACTCATATTGTAATAGAAGATAATATTGTTTATTAAATGGAGCGCGACGCGCGGAGCTATCTTAGAGATCAGATATTTTTGTAACCAAAATTTCATAGAAGGTCCGTTTACGTAACGAAGGTACGTTTCATAGAAGGTTGAGTGGTAAACGTTAGATTACCACTCAAAATAAATATCCGATCGGTCACGCTCGAGTTTTTAATTATAAACGCGCTCCACTCAATATTTGACCTGGTGTGTAAGCAACACCGGTAACAAACCTAGTTTTATATAATTTGACGATTGCAGTATAAATGCCTGTGTACGCACTATGATTTTCAAGTTGGTTGTTTAAGCTTCTGGATTTGAACTGTTGTGTTCTATATATGGATTGTTTACAATAAAAACGTATTGAAAATTTTATATTATGCGTGTTTTTTTTCACACCTACTATTAAAAGTTGATACATATATATTTCGAAGTATTTTTTTTTATTTATAATAACTAAATAGATGGATTGTGTGTATAAAAGGAGAGTATGCTCAGATATGCTGATAGAGATCAGTGGTAGAGAATGACATCCTGAGCCGACCACAAATAATGGGATAAAGGCAATAAAGGACTAAAATTAATTGGTACTGTCTTATATAGTCGTGTTCAGCGTGACACCAGTGGAAGAAAATAGAATGAGGATTGTATTGAGTTTCGTAGCCAGGTCATAATTGTATAATAATATTCTGTCTTTTGATTGTGAAAGTCGATCTATAGAGTATTGTATTCATGAGTATGATTGTTTGTATCAGTCTGAGTGTTTACTATTTATATGTATGTATTTACGAAAAAAATAGATCTATGTATATCAGTTATTATATAGTACCCATAATATAAGCTTTAGCTAGCTTAACTTGGGTCGAGATGCCGCTGTGTGAATTGTCCTGAGATGATTATTATTATTACATTATTATATATAGATAAATATTATTTTTTTGTGTATAGTCATTGAATATTTTATTATCTACGTTATCTACTTTTAGTAAAGATGTATATTCTCTGTTATAATGTACTAGCGGAAATAATTTTACGTCATAACAAAATACCTACATTTATTGATCTTATTAATTTTTAGTATCATCATAAAAAATAATCTATATAATAACTAAGTTATAACAAAAACTCACACCATGTTTATAAATCTATACAAATAGGTATATAAAGCTGAAGAGTTTGTTTGTTTGTTTAAAAGCGGTAATTTTAGAAACAACTGAATTTCTATGTAAACATCTTCATTACTTTAAATCGGCTAAGCCATTTTTATCGGTAGTTTGTATTCACACACTTAAACTTAAATTGTATAAAGTAAGAATAAAATTATTTAAAAGAGCAACACGCAAGTGTGTTGCTCGTTCTTCTTGAGATTGCTTTCCGAATGAGCGGTAGATTAAAAAAAATCTAATGACTATTCAAAAGTTCTTCAATGTAAGTTTATTTGAATAAACGATTTTCTATTCTATTCTATTCTATGCGCTATATCTATTCTATTATATATTAGCGGGGACAAATGTACAGACAAAAAAAATTTATATTGGTGGTGTTAGTACGTTTTGGGGGAAAGGGATTGTTAGTAATGAGGAATATGATTATATTGCTAATAAAGTGTTCAACGGCGCCTGTGATATAGCGGTGTAATACACCGCTTTACATCCGATAGTTCCGGGTTCGATCCTCGCACAGTGCAAACATTTATATTCCTGAGTACTGTATCGGTATGTTTTCTATGTATAAAAAAAAATGTTGTGACTATTCAAAAGTGCTTCAATGTAAGTTTATTTGAATAAATGATTTTCTATTCTATTCTATATTATGTATTTACAAAAAATGTATCTAAGTAGTAACATACATATTATATTATCTGTGGTAGTAATATCAGTTGTCCAGTAGTTTAGACTGAACTACATAGATGGCTGTGTCGTGGCATAATTGTCGCTCCTCCTCCTACATTACTGTCGCATCTCCCATCGCAACCTTCGTCCGTCTAGGAATTTACTTCTCCACGTTCCTGCTCATCGTACAAGCTCCGTATCAAAATCCTTCACATTACAAGCCATCAAACATTGGAATGAGTTACTCATGACTTTCATATTCTCATTTAAATCAAAATTACGTAAACACCTTTGAAATAGAGTAATTCTTTTTATCCCAAATTTCAATACTATTTAATTTTCCTCTAACTCTCCTCCTTCAGGAACCTGACTTTCATTGTTGATTTGTATATATATTGTATGTATATGTATTGGTATGTATGTATTATATTGTAAGGTTGGCACATCACTAAAGTCAGTTTTTTTTTTTTGGTTCTGTTTTTCCCTTTTTAGGGAAAGACAAAAGGAGCCCATACAGCCATTCTAAGGTCAGTGTTTGACGTTGATCTGTCAAAAGAATGTCATGTCAGGCATTATTGGCGCTCACGGCTCATGGGATATAATTAGTAGAATGATGTACAATATAAATGGTTAAAGTAAAAATTATAAATAAAGTGATTAAACAAATTGAGTTGAGTCTTAATGCTACATAGATATATATTATTAAGTTATGTATTATATGTTAATCATAATGTACCGCCCACATGAATCTCTGTTTGCCCTATGGTTGACTGGGAGAAAATGCCTCTAGGTGTTAAGTCCGTCATGTGCACCTTTATTTATGTATCTGTGCATTAAAGTTTTTTTTTTATTAAGTCTTTTACGGCCCTGGAAATCTCCTTTCAGCCAAACAATTACATTCTACAAATACAAATCAACTATTAATTACATCTATAGCGTTCTTATAGTATTGTGTATGAAGTCGTATAAAAATGGATAACTTTCTGTATTTTGTAGGATAGATTGCAAGAGGCGGGGTACTTCTTTTTTATTATATAAACTTATTAAGCCATCTATCAAAATAAGTCTCTGCAAACCAAATGCTGGACATTCCATTATAATATGTTGTAGATCCGCCATTTCTACAGTATTCACAATTTGAAGATCTCAATTTTATTGCAAATACAAATGGGCCGGAAACTGCTCATGTCCCATACGAATTCTATTAATCGTTGTAATGCATTAAAGTTTTAATAACAAAACAAAAAATTGTTCGGGTCATTGTTATTATTGCTATTTCGTAGAGACAGACTCCCTAGAAACAGTCGTGATGAATTCCTAGTAAACTCACCACAATGGGATAAGTGACCGGACTTCGTACTCAACCCGTCATCCTCCACCGGTGTCCCGTCATGTTAGTATGACCATTGGCGTTGACGGGTTCAATATTTCATAATCACCGATTATAAAAAAAAACATAACTTTTACGTGTTGCTGATCAAAGCTTGTGTTTTTTGTTTCAAATTATTTAATGTCGATATCGAATACACGGTAGATAATTTAAGTTATGACAGAAAATAATCTATGCATATAAATAATATTGGAGTGTCTGTTTGTAATATTGAAATAACCGTTTTTTACTACATACATATGAATATAAATACTGTCCATACACTAAAATAACATTTTTTACAATTTTAGTCTGTCTGACGACATTTTTTGGCAGGTAGCTGGTGTAATAAGCAATAACTTAGGATACTTTTATTTTAGAAAAATAAAGTTAAATTCCACGCGGACGAAGTTGCGGGAGCAGCTAATTAAAAATAATAGTCGAGTTGTATTACGACATTAAAAAAAATACGTTGCACTATTTATCTATGAAGCGTCGATCAATGCATCCGAATATTGACCGCATACAATGCTGAATGCACATGTCTGTACCTACAACCAATCAGAACGACAGGCGTCGGGTGGAAGGAGCGTTATTGGTTGTCGTTAGGAATATTCCAGATTGTACTACGCGATGCTACCTTTTTGTGTTTCCAGCTGTATTATTTAGCTGTCTGTATATTTTCTTTGCAATGTGAGACAAATCTGTAGAAATAAATGAATTATTATAAATATTGCAGTGTCTGTTTGTAATTTCAAATTAACAGCTTTTCACACTTAAAAACAATTATAATAACACGAATTTATTGCACGAGAATTGAGTTTAATTTGCGACGTTTATATTACATAGAGGTATTAAAGTATTTGTCCGCCAGTCATTATTTTTATTATTAAATATTTCTGTATGGGAATGGAACAAAACTACAGTGTGAAATTACATATTTAAATAAAAATAAAATTTCCGAAAATGTGTCATATTAAGTTCCGTTCTATACAACTTCTTACAATATTATCAAGCTGCAGTTCGTTTTTTCTTTAGGTGATACTGGTGATACTGATTTTTGCAAGACTTGTTATGGAAATGCAGTTTTAATTTGTATACATAGTGTACAAACAATATTGTGCAGCGCTTTTTATAATGGTTATGAATAAAAATCAAATATGAGAATTACTAATTACCCTGCTAAGTATAAAAAAGGAAAAAACCTTTTTTCTATCCATACAGTCCACAGGAACATCCACAACAAATTAAAGACGCACTTAAAACACGCTACGCAAGTTTTTAAAATTACCATTAATAAAGGGAGAAAAAGAGGAATGGCAATGTTAAATCTTTTATAGCATTTAATTTGAAGTAGTGAAATTTTTAAATAAAAGAATAGATTGCAATCGCAGTGTAATTTTTATATTATATACGTAATTTTTTAATGTTGAGAAATTTTTAGATTTGCAATGTGGAAACACTAGTTACAAAAAAAATTAGTATATACTTCTACTTCCGTCGGCGCCATTTTAGTTAATACGAAGATTCTGCAAGAGAAGCACGTTTTCCGAGTGTTACTATTTTAAGTCTACAAAACTAGTTAATTAGACAAAGTGAGTATCTATCTACATATATAATGTTATCGATAATTATTATTTTTATAATTGAAATTGAGTTGCAATGTGTGTCCCGTAGATTGAATTTCAAATATTAATTTTGATCCCATCACCCATGCCTTTTTAGAAGATAGCGTTTGCTTCGTCAGATTTCCTTGTTCATTAGTCATGTTCTATATATTGGAATTATTGTAATAAATGTTTTTCCTTATAATATTTATTCGTTAATTGTATTCATAATTTTAATAATTGAATTTGTCAAATTCTCTTTGTCACGTGCTTGGTCTAACGGATTCTTACGACTCATTGTGAAAATTGATTACTCATCATCTCTGCTTATTTATTATTCCAGCATTTTCTACTTGTAATTTTGAATTTTTAGTCCATTTCTTTCATATTCTGAAAATTCCACGTGCCGCATTCGAGAACATTCTGAACTTCTCATTGATTTTTCCATCATGGCCGCCGCCCTGCAAGCCATGTAGATATTAGTTGGTTGTCTACCTTTATTCTATGTACAATTATGGTGCGAACAACCTACGCTAAAATTCACATGGTACTTGTATCTATTTTGGTTTAAAAATGGCGGATTTGATGTACCTAGTTCAATGTATGTAGGATGAGCGGACATTGAGGTTAAGGTATCATTGTTTGTGGTCGATGAACTTTTGCTCTATTCTAGATATCATATATTAATTTTTTATAGTCGGAACACGATGTTAGTCTTTTATGAACAACTAGCCACTGTTCTTTGTGTTAGTTGGTCCCACGTGGATATATTACTCCAGTTGATCCAACATATCAGCCCTACCCATCGTGTTGGATTGACGCATAAATTAAAGACTAGCTATTTCCCGCGGCGCTGGCTGCATAAATTCAGGTAGAATGTAATCCTGTACGTTATATTACTATATTATCTGTCTGCGTACTAAGTTTCATTTAAATGACCCGTAGTTTTTTTTTTGGAAAAAGTAGCAAAGTCCTCCATCAATGCGTCCATTGTCACGACTTCCGCGTTGATAGTTCTAGTAAAATTCTTGTTAAATGACATTGGAGTTATATCGCACTTAGTTACATCAGTTGCGGCGTCACTACCGCAGTTTGCTCGCCGCTGATTACGCGCTGATTATTATACGCTTATTTTCTTGATAACAGACTAAGCATAGTAACAAGACGTACGGTTATAGTGGTATTGATGTAGGTAGTAGTACCATAGATATAAAACATTGCAATTTTATTTTAAACTTTACTGTTTAGATCTAAAGACAAAATTTTAGTGTCTTCTCTAGATGTTACCACAGATATACCTCAGAGATTTTCAATACAGATGCTATGAAGTTCTGAATGACATATTTTTTCTTTTTTTAGATGGCGGCAAAAGCACCCGCAGTAGGTATCGACTTGGGCACCACGTATTCTTGCGTGGGTGTGTTCCAGCACGGCAAGGTGGAAATCATAGCCAACGACCAGGGCAACAGGACCACCCCATCATATGTAGCGTTCACAGACACCGAGCGTCTCATCGGAGATGCTGCCAAGAACCAGGTGGCGATGAACCCTAACAACACCATCTTTGGTGAGTTTCTAATGATCACTGTAATTGTGTACAGAGGAATGTATGTTATAGGATGATAATGGAATGGTTCATCCACCTGCAATAATAGTATATGCTGGTGAGGCACCAGTGGAATATTAGGTCAGGTCAATCCATTGTGACAAATTCACCATGAATTTAGCATGATGGTTACCAGGGGCAACTGGAATCCAGGTCAACCTGACATGGTACATTGCTAGCAATGAGATCAACAGTTCAATCAACAACAATACCAATTTCTGGAGTCAGCAGTCCACATTACTGACAATCCTTCCCCCTCAGGGGACTGGTTGTAGAAATGTTAACCAAGCTGAGTAGTACAGGTAGAAATTCAAACAAATGGAAGGATGGGGAGATATAGCAACTAAACAAAAGGAACTATATTTATTTCTCAACAAATAACTATTTTATTTGTTCTATAAAAAAGAAATTGGAGCCGAATTGATTAATACTAATAACTGGAGGTACACCAACCTTGGCTTGGCATGGGGGTGTACACATATTGTATATATAAACCTTCCTCTTGAATCACTATCAATTGCTAACAACGGCATTCAAATCTGTTGTGTATTTTGAAATATCTAAGTAAACAGACAGCAGATGGGACTTGATTTTCTACTGTCTAAAGAATACTTTAATCTTTTATTTTCTACTTATTTACAATGAATAAAAGTCTTTAAGCAGATTACTAAATTATAGAGCAAATAATAACATAAGACTGAACAATATATATTGCTATTTTCCTCTTAACTTTCCTGATATGTAGTAGTGTGATGGTAAATACCCCAAAACTTCCTTCACAAAATGGGCACATGTAACCAACCACAACACAGTTTTTAAACATACCTTCACAACTTTAAAAATACAACGTAGTCCAGAACAGCCTCAACTATTATTGTTAACACACTTTATATGACAACCTCTTTAATTACTTATTCTTTTTTTATAATAATTTCTTTGGTATTTATTAGTTATAAAAAATTAAGGAGTCAATTATATAATATGATAACACATCATGCATTATAATTCCACTCTTTGCCTATAATAGTTATTTTAAGTCTTGAAAATTAACTTTCCCCTACAAATGACCTCTAGTTATGTATTTACTGTAATGAATGTGACATTGAATTACTGATTTCATAGTGATTATATGCAATAAATTCCATATAGGTCATTGTTCAGAAGTGATATACATATATAGATATACCTTGAATTGATAAGCAGATTTTTATTATGGATGATAATGATATGTCCACCATCGGCACTATCAGTTTACGAGGTTATCAGTTCACATTACTAACAATTCCAATTCACCTTATAGCAGATATTATGTAATACCATCACTATAATATGATGGGAGTTACAGTATCCACCATTCTTGTTCATCCAAAACGGTGTGGTGATAAATAATTACATGTCTGCATGAGAATGAAAATTAGAATTGAAATCCTGTAATAAGTGACCAGTATGATGATATTGTTAAAAGACTAAATCCACTTATGAATAGAGAGACCTTGTGTTGTCCTTGTTTTCATAATTATCTTTCAAAATGAAACAGTCTTAATTTTAATTGATATAGTTAGAAAAGTTAAATAACAGCTCTGAGCCTCGCTAACATTGGCAAAATCACAAACCATAGTGGAAGCCATTGAAAAAAAAAACTCATGGGCGGCGGTAATCGTTTTAGGCTCGATTGTCCCCTGGCCTATAAAATAAAAGAATTGAGACCTATGTCTTGGAATAGGGATAATAAACAGTTGTAATGGCTATATTTATTGAGTGTTGTATAAAATTATGTACAGCATACTCGTAGTTAGCGGCAGTGTCATTGGCACACAACTCGGTAGTCTGGGTTATTGATTTTTTAGTCAGCCTTGTAACCCGTTAACCTACAAATGAAACAAGGCTATGTAGACGCAATACTTTACTTAGCTGAATGAAATATTCAAGTATATTTTCATAAATTTCTTATTGTTCAGTTGTTAACATTACAAAATTGTTGAATACGACACATACAGATATAGAAATTAAATGTAATATAATATAATGATAATATCTCTGGACAATTCACACAGCGTCATCTAGTCCCAAGCTAAGTACAGTTTATGACACGGTCTTTATTTATATTTCTTCTGTAGAAAACACCAAGACCGATACAAACAAGTCATAGATACAAATGTTTCCATGAGTTGCTGGATCGTGCGAGGAATCGAACTCGCGACCATTGGTAGTAAAGCGGTATGCCAGACCACCGAAGTTTCAAGATAAATTATCATGAAAGATGAAGTTACTCTGTGGATTCTATTTACGAACTTTCACATTTAGAACGGAAAGATGAAACGCGACCTAAAAAAATTATAATTTGTATAGCTCTTACCTCCAGATGGTTAATGATTCAATGATGACTAATACCGGCAAGGAAGTTGATCTGTCATTGAAATTGTGACTAATTCTTCGTAGTTTCATAATAAGCTATTTTATTAAGTAAGACAGATCGTTTTACTTTTAATAGTTTTTTTTTATTTGTAAACATTTTGAAATTTCTGAAAATTGTACAAACAGCAATGAAATAGTAATTTGTACAAAAACATTATTTTATTACGTGGTAATTAGTCCTCTTTCATTCTAAGTATTAAATCAGACCAACTGACGAGGTATTACTAGAAAATACGACGTAATTTTGAGTATACATCATAATCAACTACGTCATTCTTATTCACTGTTGTGTAAATAACAAATCAACTTCCTTGTTTGAAAATAATGCTAAGTAATATGCACTTCAAGAGTTTAAATGTTTGCTTTCCGGTTATTAATAACAAATTGCGAATAACGCTACTTCAAATTTCATATATATAATATATCTTTCCCGCGTCTATCTACATGTGAGCCAATAATCTTAAAAAGACCTAACTGGTTTTCGTGCGGTTTTTCATACATGGAAGTTTCATTTCTGAGGAAGGTTTAGGTGTATAACTGAAGTAATAGAAATATAGGTAATAAGCTGGGGCAGGTTGCTGGTGTATGTAATTAAGTGTATGAATTTTCATGATGATAACCAATATACTAGACTAGAGTCTCTGAACATATTGATTGAGAACAATAATCTGAGAAAACAATAAATAAAAAAATAATGGTTTTATATTATTGTTCAGTTTATAATAACAAATGCCATTCCATTGTTTCAGATGCTAAGCGACTTATTGGTCGTAAATTCGAGGATGCTACCGTGCAGGCTGACATGAAACATTGGCCCTTCGAAGTTGTCAGTGATGGAGGCAAACCAAAGATAAAGGTCGCATACAAAGGCGAAGATAAGACCTTCTTCCCTGAAGAAGTTAGTTCAATGGTGCTTACAAAAATGAAGGAAACAGCCGAGGCATACCTCGGTAAAACTGTGCAGAATGCAGTCATTACGGTTCCAGCCTACTTCAACGATTCGCAAAGGCAAGCCACAAAAGATGCGGGTACCATCTCTGGCTTAAATGTTCTCCGAATCATCAACGAACCAACCGCAGCTGCGATTGCGTATGGTCTGGACAAAAAGGGAACCGGTGAAAGAAATGTTCTTATCTTCGACCTTGGCGGCGGCACTTTCGATGTATCCATTCTGACCATCGAGGATGGTATTTTCGAAGTCAAGTCCACCGCTGGCGACACACATTTGGGTGGAGAAGACTTTGACAACCGAATGGTCAACCACTTCGTCCAAGAATTCAAGAGGAAATACAAGAAAGACCTTACTATCAACAAGAGAGCACTCCGTCGGTTGAGAACTGCTTGTGAGAGAGCGAAGAGAACTCTTTCATCATCCACCCAGGCTAGCATTGAAATTGATTCCCTGTATGAGGGCATCGATTTCTATACCTCAATTACTAGGGCTCGGTTTGAAGAACTGAATGCTGATCTCTTCAGATCTACAATGGAGCCTGTAGAGAAGTCCCTCCGTGATGCCAAAATGGACAAATCTCAAATTCACGACATTGTCCTTGTTGGTGGTTCCACCCGTATCCCGAAAGTCCAGAAGCTTCTACAGGACTTCTTCAACGGAAAGGAGTTGAACAAGTCCATCAACCCCGACGAGGCCGTCGCCTATGGTGCAGCTGTCCAGGCTGCCATTCTGCACGGTGACAAGTCTGAGGAAGTACAGGACCTGCTGTTGCTCGATGTAACCCCACTTTCTCTTGGTATTGAAACTGCTGGCGGTGTCATGACCACGCTCATTAAGCGCAACACAACCATTCCCACCAAGCAAACTCAAACTTTCACAACATACTCTGACAACCAGCCTGGAGTGCTCATCCAAGTCTTTGAGGGTGAGCGTGCCATGACCAAAGACAACAACCTCCTCGGCAAATTCGAACTGACAGGTATCCCGCCCGCACCCCGCGGTGTCCCACAAATCGAAGTCACCTTCGATATCGACGCCAACGGTATCCTCAATGTGTCTGCTGTAGAGAAGTCTACAAACAAGGAGAACAAGATCACCATTACCAACGACAAGGGCCGTCTTTCAAAGGAAGAGATCGAGCGCATGGTCAACGACGCCGAGAAATACAGAAACGAGGACGAGAAACAGAAGGATACCATCCAGTCTAAGAACGCTCTTGAGTCATACTGCTTCAACATGAAGTCAACAATGGAGGACGAGAAGCTGAAGGACAAAATCAGCGACTCCGACAAGCAGACAATCTTAGACAAATGCAACGATACCATCAAATGGTTGGACTCCAACCAGCTGGCGGATAAGGAGGAATACGAACACAAACAGAAGGAATTGGAAGCCGTCTGCAATCCGATTATCACTAAGTTGTACCAAGGCGCTGGTGGAGCGCCCGGCGGTATGCCTGGTGGCATGCCCGGATTCCCTGGCGGAGCACCCGGAGCTGGTGGCGCTGCCCCCGGTGGCGGTGCCGGCCCCACCATCGAGGAGGTCGATTAAACACATTCCACAACTTATTCTCATGTACCATCCCTCGCTAATGTTATGCTGATTGTGATTGCGATGTTAGCAACCGTAATTTAATTCGAATATACATAATATAAACTTATTTAATTCCTTTCATTTATATTCCTAGCAACATGAACCCGCTACCATGTATCAGTATACCTTTGTAACTTTATAATTTGAATAAAAGAAATGATTTTAAGTAAATCTTATCTTATATATAAAATTCTCGTGTCAGTTTTTGTTCCCTTACTCCTCCGAAACAGCTTGACCGATTCTCATGAAATTTTGTGAGCGTATTGAGTAGGTCTGAGAATCGGCCAACATCTATTTTACATCCCCCTAAATGTTAGGGGTAGTCCACCCCTAATTTTTTTTTTATTTTTTAGACAAAATTTTTAGTTCTAATTTTTTTATGATACAACATACAAAAATACATACAATCCTAAATTTTCACCCTTCTATCTATTATGAAAATTGATATATTTCAGCTAGTATTAATGAAAATTTACATCGAAATCGGTTAAACCGTTTCTGAGGTTAGTGGTGCACAGATGCTCAAAGGCAGAAGTTATATATTCATTGATTTATATTCTGGTAGTCTCTATCTTATACTATTTTCTTATATGTATAGTTTAGGAGCATTCAGTTATTATATTACCTCGTAAATATTACGCAATGATGCACATTGAGCATATAAGTCGATCAAGGCTCTTTGATTTCATAAAATGTACTAGGTAATACTTGTTACTTTATCAAATTAGAAATAAATATACGATTCATTTACAACGCAATAATGTCCAAATAATGAAAGTACTTTAAATGGATTGTATTTATTTTGTTATCTCTAATTTCATCTTCGTGACATACAAAATTTACCTTTTTTTTTATCTGTAATGTGCAAAAGCAATTATATTTATAGTTAGGTACCAACCTTTTGTCCTTGCAGAATAGAACATTTTAGAATAAAATAATATCTAATCTATATACCTACCAAATGCGATTAGAATCTACGCAGTTCCTTTTATATTATTAATCAATAAATATATGTAATCTGAAATATACCTATATACTCAGGAATTTATATATATACTCTGGAAACCCTGAAACTAAATCCGATACAAATCCGGTTCAGACATCTGAAACTGTCATTGATTTCGATTGAAACTGATAAATAAATTTACGAATATAATACAGATCTTAACCTTAATAATATAAATATAAATATTTTATTATTTTCTGTATATGCGAAAGTTTGTAAGTATGGACGCAAAAACTACTGAACGGATTTTGATGAAACTTTGTAGTAATATAGCTTAGGCATCAGAATAACATGTAGGCTATATTTTTTATTGAAATTTAACGCGAGTGAAACGCGGACACAGCTAGTATTATGCGTAGATTAACTTATTCCTCACCTAGTAATTTTATCTAGTCCTGAACTAAGCAAATCTTGTGTTAAGGGTATTTACGTTATGTATATTCTCATATTTCGTAGTCAATGAAAGAACCGGCATTGTTACCTATTTAATAAATAGAAAAATACAAGTTTAATCTATTACCAAAGTAATAGGTTAAACTTGTATTTTAACAAAGAGGTAGGATTCGAATATTAGATTTCAAAATTGGCCTGCTACCCTATATCAGGTGTTCAAAGTATTTTTGATATTTTGTATTTTAAATGTATTATACATATACAGTACTTAAATTATATGTGATATTATAATATTAAAACTAACCTGAATCTGAAAAAAATAACATTAAAAAATGTACCAGTTGAGTTTCTTGCCAGTTCTCAACTTAAGTTGCTAGCCGAACTGGAAGGTAGGGTTAGTGATAAAAATATGATGTTCACAAGAGGCCGAGTCTTATTTTAAGTTTGAAAATAGAGTAGAGTGTTTGGCAACAGCATCCAGACATCGGGAGGTCTTAGAAAATATATAAACTATATAAACAGATAAACTCTGTTCACCATAGAATAGAATAGAACAGAAAATAATTTATACAAATAAACTTACATTGAACGCCATTACTGCGTTCGACTATATTTTAGAACCACTTACAAAAACAGCATGAGGTACAGGAAAAATTAATATAAAAGACATAGAGGCTTTGTGTCTCTTAAGGTTAGACAGGCACAAATAAGATAATATTACATAATATAGGCAACCGACTATATAATATACTAGCTATCCGGCCCGGTTTCGTACAGGTGTATACATATATATTCTACAAGAATCCTTCCTCTTGAATCACTATCTATTGCTAAATCCGTTGAGTTATCTAAGTAGTAAGTAGTTGATCTAAGCGAACAGATAGCGATTTCATTTTATATTATGTAAAGATACACAATGAATATATATATATTCATTCATAATTTAAGAGCCGTGCACTTGTCGGTGGAGCTCTTTATATATACATTTTGTATACATCGGTATTCTTATACAATTAACTGGCGCTGTAGAATTGAATGAGCAACCGAGTTATTTTAGTATCCGTACGATTTAATTTTAGTGTCTGCACGAAAATAACTGAGCAGATCTTCGGTATTGACTGCGAAAGGTACGATCTATTAAAAACATGTTTATGTACATATAAATAGAATCTTACTATGAATTTGGTACGAGACGAAACGGCGCCATGATATGTTTAGAATGTTCTTGATTTGTCTTTAATCAAGATCATATAATTTACTTATTATATTTACCCTCTCCTGTTCTCTAACTTTGGAACCGGACCATAGGGGGCGAGTGCAGATGGCACTCCAAACCCGAAGAAGGATTTATGGAGCGGCTGAAGGCCAACTCCCGCCTAACGGATACGACTTTAGTCTGAGGGCACCGCTAGGGTTTCGAACCTTGGCTCAGGCCGTCCTACTTTTCAATCCCCGTTTGAATTGGACAAAGGAAGTAGTGTTGTAACGTTGGAAAATTTACAGACTGCGAAATTTTGGTTACGAACGTTCTCTCTACGCCGTCTAATATGCCTGTAATATTTTTCTATTTCTCCTCTACCCACAGCACTAGCGACATAACGTGCCATCTTACGTAACTTTCAATGTTAATTACAGTAGATAGATATAAAAATTATCTTCGATGATAATAAACTAATTATTAATAACTACCTACTTGTCGGAAACAACCAGAGATAACGCTATTGTTCCCACGACAAAAGTAGAACTATATAGAACATGATGGAAGCACAGATTAAGTATTATTCATATTGGTAAATATGGCGTTTATTTTATCTGACAACAATTTGCGTGTAATGAGTTCCGGTTTGAACGTAAGAGATGGCAACATACATACTCTATTTCTTGGACATTGACTTGAATTTATGTAATTTTGTTTTTTAATTGTAAAACTTCAAGTTTAGTGTACTCGTTAAGATTGGATTCAAGAAGACTTGTATCTAGAGCCGTAAAACATGATAAATAAAAAAATACATTCATATATATTCATACATTTCGGAAATGATAGTGGACAAGAGTAGGGTCCCACTACTCTTGTCCACTATCATTTCCGAAACGAATATTCATTGTGTCGTGATTTTTATATACATACTTTTTATAACCATATTTTTTTTAAGGTCCGTAGTGTTGTTCATGTGTATAAATAAGGAGACGGATGCCATGTTCCCTCACTTATTCCCCTCATTTGGCATTTTTGTCGATTCTTTAGTACTCTTCAATTTTTCTTTTTTCGACAGAGTTGCAAAAATGTTTAATAGAAATTAACTGTAGTTACATGAATTAGTACATATATTAGGTATTTATGTTATGTATCGGGAAATTCCCCAATTAGTCAGCATTTTCTGGGTTCTGCAACTCAATTATTAAATCAGACCAGAGTCGTCTGCGTAGGTACTTTTATGCATCCTATTCCTTGCATCTGCTCTGCTGCGGTGCATCTAGGTGAAGTGATAACATACAAGGGGATCTGAGTATCAACTGGAAGAGACAGGTTGAAGATTGTACCTAGTGATGTAGTTTAGGAGAGAGCATATATTACAGTTGGCACTACAAAGGTTCGTACCTCGGCTCAGGCCGTTATAATTTCGATCCATGTTTGAATTGGACGGGGGATCGATTGGAGGGGATGAAGGGTTGACGGATGAAAAGGAGGCAATGAAATGACTATCCTCTGAAAATCGTTTTATAAGTTTTTGATGAATATCACAATGGCTAACTGACCTGAACTCATGCTCATCTTATCATCCTTAACTGTTGCCCCATCAGTATTAACAGTTAGAGCAACCATTCCATTATCATCTATTATACAAAACGCATATGGGTCAACACAGGCAAAATCTTGGTGTTGCATGTGCTTATGGGCGGCGGTGATCACTTACCATCAGGTTAGTCGTAAGCTCGTTTGAGCTCTATTCTTAAAATAACTTATTTAACATTTTGGTTAATAAAAAAAGAACAGATCATGTTTATCGTTTTTCCCCTATGCTATAAAAAATCCTATCTGCCATTTCATTTTAAAAAAGAACACATGTTTCCGGCGTCGTTCAGTACTTACCTGTAAATTATAACATTCAGTAATTTCGTGGCCTTAATAGATAGTACAGGTATGTATTGATTACAATTGAGGTAATTATATATTTTACTAGCTGTTTCCGCGACTTCGTCCGCGTGGAGTTAACTTTATTTTTAAAAAAAAAAGAATTTTTCTAAAACAAAGTTGCCTAAGTTACTCCTTATTATATCAGCTATCTGCCAAAAAAGTCCCGTCAAAATCGGTCCAGCCATTTCAAGAGATTAGCCGGAACCAATAAACAGACAGACAAAAATTGTAAAAAATGTTATTTCGGTGTATGTATCGTATTTATAATCATAAATGGTTATTTCAGTATTACAAACAGACACTGCAATTTTATTTATATGTATAGATAAGATATCGGATTTATGTCATTAGGGCTCGCATTAAAACGCCAGGGGCCGTATTATGAACTCTTATTCCCATTCAGTTTACGGCTTAAACTGAACTGCCTGGCGATTTCGTATTACGAACGCTATTAGCCAGCCAGTCAGCGGTCACGTGACAGCTGAACGTCTTCTGCCCGAAAACTGACCGGCTATTTCGTATTATGAGCGTTTCATTTGACAGATCTAAGCGGACGCAACTGTCAAAAAGACCGTTTGAAATAGAAATAATAGAAATAGAAATAATCTTTATTCAAATAAACTCATTACAAGCACTTTTGAATAGTCATATTTTGATTCTACCACTCATTCGGAATGCAGATTCATCACAAGAAGAATGAGCAAGAAACTTGTGTGTTGCTCTTTTTGATAGATGTTTTTTTTATATAAATAATTACAGTGTAACAAGTAAGAGGCATGCGACAATCAACATAGAAATCGCTACGCACTCATTATTAGTGTAATCAGATAATATTGTCAGTGTTATGTATTTAAAATTTTTCTACAAAAACATTATTATCGTTAACGAATTCTTCAATTTTATAGTAAGCTTTTTTGCAAAGGAAGTGTTTTATTTGATATTTAAATCTTTTTTCTGGCAGATTTATAACAGACTCTGGTATTTTATTGTAAAACCTTACGCAATTGCCATAAAACGAATTACTAACTTTAGCCAAACGACATTTAGGTAAAATCAGTTTGTTATTGTTACGTAAGCTTTTATTAGTGCAATCACTAACTCTTTGAAATTGTCTATATTCTTCCTGGCATACATGATATTTTCATAAATATATTGAGAAGCAACGGTGAGGATATTTGATTCCTTAAAGCACTCTCGCAAAGACTCCCTGGAACCCATGCTATAAATAGAGCGAATGGCCCTCTTTTGTAAAATAAATATTGTATTTATATCAGCTGCTTTGCCCCATAACAAAATACCATACGACATAATGCTATGGAAATAGCTAAAGTACACAAGTTTAGCCGTTGCCACGTCTGTTAATTGCCTAATTCTTCTTACCGCATAAGCGGCAGAACTAAGTCGACTCGCTAATTTAGTAATATGGGCACCCCATTGCAACTTGGAATCTAATGTGATACCTAGAAATACAGTATCATCCACAAAATTAATAGGTTTATTGTCCAACATGATTTTTGAATCTACCGGCCTTACATTGGGGAGAGTAAATTTGATACATTTAGTTTTATTTGCATTTAGTAACATATTATTAGCCGTAAACCATTTTAAGACATAAGAAAGAGCACCGTTTACTTCGTCCAAATCATCAATATGTCGATTGACTTTGAATACTAATGAAGTATCATCAGCAAACAGAACTATGTCAGCTATCTTTTCTACCATATAAGGAAGATCATTTATGTAAACTAAAAATAAGAAAGGACCTAAAATAGAGCCCTGAGGAACACCCATTTTAATACTAGTTCCTTCAGACTTTACACCATTTATTTCGACAACTTGCATTCTATTATTTAGATAGGATTTCATCATGCTTTGTGCTTCATATCTAATACCGTAATGTTCAAGTTTGAGCAAAAGTGTTTCATGTTCAACGCAATCAAATGCTTTTGAAAGATCGCAAAATACACCGACTGCATCCTGAGACCTCTCCCAAGAATCAAATATATATTTAATGAGAGCTACACCGGCATCAGTAGTTGATTTACCGGCCGTGAAACCAAATTGTCGACTGTGAAGCAGTTTATTTACTTTAAAGTGTTGTAGCATTTGATTGAGCATAATTTTTTCAAACACTTTACTCAATACTGGTAAGATAGATATAGGCCTATAATTACCTACCACAGTTTTTTCTCCTGACTTAAAGAGTGGAGTTATTTTGCTATGTTTCATTAAATTGGGAAAAACACCGTCAGAAATACATTTATTGAAAATAATTACTAAATATGGAGCAATAACATCTATAGCGGTGTTAATAACTTTAACAGACATGCCCCAATGGTCTTCAGTATTTTTTAAATTTAATTGTTTAAATGTTTTAGTAATTGTAGCAATGTCAATAAATGTAAATTTAAATGTAACCGGACAAGAAACAACATTATCAATAAGGAATGATTTAGCTGTACCCGGAGAAGAGTCCAAAGAGGAAGTAATATCAGTTGGAATATTAGCGAAAAAATTTTCAAAAATATTGACAATTTCTTTTGTGGACGTTACTAGTTTATCATTATAATTTAGCGTAAAATCGTTATATGGACTTTTAACTTTGCCAGTTTCTTTGTTAATAATATTCCACACTGTCCTTATTATTGGGCAGTACAGCAAACCCAATATATATATAATAATAGATATTTAATTGTTAGGTTCGTAGATAGGGCATCAATAAAAGAGGAAAGTAAAATATTATATCACAATTATATTTCTCGATGAAGTCTAAATTTACAGTCTTTATTTTCTATTGTTCTAACGATGACAAGGAATGTACAATTTTCAAATTTATATTTTCTTTATACAAACTAAAGAGTTATTAACATCCTCCACACCAGAAGATAATTAATTAATTAAATATGTATTCTAACTGTAGAACTACAACAGTTTAAAAACAATTCATAAAATTCACAATAATTATAAGTACTAGTATATGTGGCTGAGTATACGTATATGTCAATAATGTGTGTATGTAAATTTAAAATATTTGAACAATAATAAAAAAAACATATTTAAACATTTACAACAAATACCTACTTGGAATCTTTATGTGTCGACCCGTACGAGTAGTCTGCCCAACCTGTGTGGAAATAGGAACAACATTATTTACCGACCTCGATACCTCTATATTACTATCACCATTCTCCGACCTTGGACGAGACAATACTACCGAAGGATCACTAACTTCTAATTGATATAGTTTTTGGAAAGGTCGTATTTTCAACCCCGTTGAAGTTTTTAGTTGAGCCGTTCTACAAACTTGATCTCGACCTGTGAAAATATTTGTCACCACACCTAATGGCCATTTAATCCTTTTTTCATCAGTCTCGATCAATACAACGTCACCTATTTTCAAGTCATTTGTCTTTTCTTTACCTTTCTGAACCAATGTCGTCAAATATTCAGTTTTAAACCTTTGTCGGAAATCTTCTCTTAATTTTTGTATAAATCTCAATCTTTTATTTAAACTATTTCTGTCTAATTCGTCTAAATCTGTGACATCAGATTGTAGTATGGGTTGTAAAAAGTGTATGGGTTTTAATGGTTCTAACGAATTACTTTTCTCATCTTCGATATAAGTTAAAGGCCGTCCATTTAACGTCGCTTCACAATCACAAAGTATAGTTTGAAGCTCTTCATATGTCACAGATGACTTGCCTAATACTCTTTTCAATAAATCCTTCAAAATTCGAATTAACCGTTCCCAAAATCCACCCCACCACGCAGCAGTAGGTGCATTAAGTTTCCATTTTATACCCTGTATAACAGAATCTTGTTCAACTTTTGTCCAGTCTATTTCTGATAGTAAATTTTTTGTTCCGACAAAATTTGTACCATTGTCACTCATCATAATGCTGACTCTTCCTCGTCGAGCTATGAACCGACGAAAGGTCATCATAAATGCTTCAGTCGAGAGTGATCTGGTTGCTTCTAAATGTACAGCTCTATAGACTGCACATGTATACAATACGATCCAGCACTTTTGTCCATCGCGTAAAATCAGTGGTCCAGCTAAATCTACACCAGTAATTTCAAAAGGAGCAGAACAACGTGTACGCTCTACAGGTAATGGAGCAGTCGATACCTGTACATGTTTGGCTCTGTAGCGTTTACATACACAGCAACGTGAAATTATTGCCTTTACTAATTGTCTAGCACCTATAATCCAGTACTTACTGCGTAAATCAGCTAACACGGTATTTAATCCAGCGTGTTGCAACAGAGCGTGTCTTTGTTCCACCAGTCTATATATTAAAATATTCCTCGCTGGTAGTATAACTGGATACTTCGTGCTTTCTGGAAAGTCGGTAAGTAAAAGCTTTGTTTTTGTTCTTATTAAATTATTCTTGTCATAAAAATGACTTATTCCCTTAATTTTACTTTTAATAAATTCTTTACTTTCTACTTGAATAAGCTTGAAGATTCTTCTTTCGCTTTCCTCATATTCTATATAACTTAAATCTCCCTTTAACTTTGTTTCATTTCGAGTGTTGTATAAAAATCTAAGTATCCATGCCATCATCCTTATATTTTTGTTATACTTAGAAAAGTAAGAAAACCATTTATTTGTTACTATTTCTTCTGAACATATGTTAGTACTACAAATTGTTGATTTTTTCAGCTCGCGGTTTACTTCTTCATTATCTACGGAAACAGGTAAGTTTATCCATTTATTATTTTCCGATTTCAGCCATTGCGGACCTTCCAGCCAACCAGAAGTCAATAGAATTGCAGCATCACATCCTCGCGATGGTAAGTCAGCCCAGTTAGAATTTCCTGGAATATGAAACCAATTATTAACATCAGTATTCTTCCGTATTTCTCTAACTCTGTTACCTACAAACGTATTCCATTGTAGTTCCTTTTTAATCCAGCACAATGCTACATTTGAATCAGTCCAGCAATATTCCTCACATTCTAATTTCAAATCTCTACGTGACTCTGCCAATAATCTTGATCCAATTAATGCAGCTAACAGTTCTAAACGTGGAATAGATGGTTTTTTAGGAGGTGCAATTCTTGATTTCGCTGAAATCAATCGTATTGTTATTTTGCCTTTATAGTCAGACCTTAAGAATATGCATGCAGCGTATGCATTACTGCTGGCGTCACAAAACATATGTAATTGTAATATACATTCAGAAAATGGACCTTCTGTAAGTCGCCTAGGAATCTTACAATGTTTAAGTTGGCATAAACTTGTACACCATAATTCAAATTTTTCATTTAAATCACTAGGCAGAGGACTGTCCCATTCCAAATTGCGACACCATGTCTCCTGAAGGATAAGTCGAGGTATTAATGTAACAGCTGATGTAAAACCAATAGGATCATAAATTTTTTGAGCTATAGATAATAGACTTCGTTTAGTAACAACAATTTTATTTAAGTCACAAAATGATGACATATTACAACTAAATGTATCGCTTGATGTATGCCAATGGAGTCCTAAAACCGAAATAACCTTGTCTGTATTTTTATGTGACGTAGGAGATATAACCCATTGTCTAAGATCAAACTTGGCTTGATTCATAATGACTTTAGCCTCCTTTTCGAATCTCCATACATCTTCTTCACTATCCAAACTAGTGACTACATTATCTACATAAAAACACTCAGATAATATATCTGCTGTATCTCGATTGTAATTACTGACGTTATTGAGATGATGTTGTATCGTAGCCGATAATAAAAATGGGCTACATGTTAAACCAAAAACTACTCTACGATGTCTAAAAGTGATTAATTTATTATCCTTATCCCACCATAAAAATCTTAACATATCTCTATCTAAAGGTGTAATCGATATTTGTAAAAAAGCCTTAGCTATATCTGCTGTAATTCCTATTCCTCCTTTCCTAAATCCATTCAGTAGCTTAGGTATTTTATCCAGCATATTGATGCCAGTATCAAGACATATATTCAGCGACTTACCATATTTGTCTTTAGCCGACGCGTCAAATACCGGTCGAATTTTAGTCGTGAGACTTTCTTCTTTAATGACTGGTCTATGAGGTAAATAATGTGATGAACCTTTGTGTTCATCTGGGTTCGTAACTTTCTCTATAATGCCGAGGTTAAGCCATTCATCAAACACTTTATCATAGCTCTCATAGATGTCAGACGATTGTAATTTTTTCGTTACTGACTGTAGACGTCGATAAGCTAAATCGTAGTTATTTAATAATTCATTATGACCTACCTTCCACGGCAAAAATACTTCATAACGACCCTCGTCGTTAACCGACACATTCTCCTCAAAGTTTGCCAGTACCTCTAATCTTGCCTCTTGTTTTGTCTTCGTTTCTATTGGGTCACGAATACCTAATGTCTCAAGACACCAAAAGTTACTAACTGCATCTGAGGAACAAAACATAGCTACTTGAGTTGACATCATGTTTATTGTAGACGACATATGAGCTTTACCTTGTAATGTCCACCCAAGTTTAGTGTGTATTGCCACTAACGAATCATATAATCTCACCAGATGACCTGTAAGAATCAGACCTGAAAAATCAGCACCAATAAGTAATCCTACATCATCAGAAGTTTGATTGGTGTCTGTTAGTGTTATGTTGTGTCTAGTAAGTAAGTCTTGAATATCATATTTATTATATTTAGGAATGTTACGACATATACAAGATTGTCCTAATGCAGATAATTTAAAATTAAAGGATTTATCTACACTACTAATATTTATATCATAGACATTGAAATTTTTTGAAGATATTTGTACATCACCAAATAGAGTTTGATTTAAAACTTCGTTACCAATACTAGGGATGTTGAGACGTTTAACAATATCTTCTCTGATGTAAGAACGTTGTGCACCATTGTCAAACAGAACACGTACCATTTCATGTTGTTTCCCGTTGCTAACAATCACTGTCACTGTCTGTAGCAATGTCGTCCCTTGACCGTGTCTCGGTACCGCCGACAAATTAGCTGCGGTACTCATTACTGTACTATCATTGGGCTCCTCTTTCTTTCCATTGCATAAAATAACAGCATGACGTCGCCCACACACAATACATTTAATAAATGTTTTGCATACCTTAGCGTGATGTCCTTTTTTAAGACAAATTGTACACATCTTTTGTTTTTTAAGATACTCACGTCGATCATCAATAGACATCCGTTGTAGTTTGTAACACTCTAATGTTTCGTGGTTTCCTTTCTCACACCATATACAAGAAGGTTTTGATATAGAAACTGGTTTTGACTTCGTCAAGAGACAGCTGGCTGTAGGCTCCATCATAAGGTGTTCTTTCACTCTTCCTCCTTTCTCTTCAATAGACTTAGCCATACTAACTCTTTGTTGTGTTTCTACTTCTCTCTTCAAAAAATCTAACAATCCAGTTAATTCAGTTGTAACATCTGTTGTACCTTTTGCTCTTTCCCATAACTGTAAAATTTCCTGTGGTAAAGCACTCTCAATCATGGGAAGCAGAAAGGCAGCAAATTTGTCTTTAGTAACTCCCAAAGTATCTAACGCTCGTAATTGTGCACTCAACTTATCGTATAATGGAGTAATTTCAAGTTGGGTGCGTGGATTTACCATTGCCAATAATTCTCTGACGTAAACTTGTATCAGTAATTCTTCCCTGGCAAATCTGGACTTCAACTGTTCCAAACATTCCTTATAGGACGATGGAATGAATCCCTCCACTAATCGTCTTACCTCAGTATTGGGGGTCATGGATTGTAATAAATACTGGTACTTATCAGTAGTGTCGATATTGGGATCTCTATCAATTTTAGAGAACTGGCCCCAGTAATTCAGCCAGTTCTTCAAATTACCGTCAAAGTGTATAAATTCCAGCTTGGGGAGTAAAATACTTTTCTTACTTACGTTTCCTTCCCTCGAAGCTAACATATTTTTGTACAAAGTATCTATTCGTAGCCACTTCTCTCTGTATTCTAAGGCGCTGTCGATTTCTTTACTTAGTACGTCTTCATCATCACTGCTTCTTAATAAACTCCTTATTTCTTTATCTAATGTAGTTAATTGAGCTTGCAGTTCATCTAGTTTTTTGTACTGTATTTTAATGTCGACAGAAAATTCCGGGCTATCGAATTTAGTTTCAAAGGAACTTACAGATCTTGTGAATATTGTTCTTATGACTTTTCTCTCACGTTTCATCGCCGCAATCTCGTTTACTGATACGGTCGCCATAATATTGGGCAGTACAGCAAACCCAATATATATATAATAATAGATATTTAATTGTTAGGTTCGTAGATAGGGCATCAATAAAAGAGGAAAGTAAAATATTATATCACAATTATATTTCTCGATGAAGTCTAAATTTACAGTCTTTATTTTCTATTGTTCTAACGATGACAAGGAATGTACAATTTTCAAATTTATATTTTCTTTATACAAACTAAAGAGTTATTAACACTTATCTTATCCTTGGACTCTTTAATTTTTTTATTTAGATAATTAGACTTTGCTACATTACATACCTTTTTAAAAGTTTTTGAGTATCTTTTTACATAATTTACGAATGTACTATCGAAACGGTATTTTTTTTGAGCATATAAATCAAATAATATATTTCTACTTTTAAGAATTCCCTTTGTAGCCCATTCTGAAAATTTTGTTTTGTTAATAATACTGATAGTTTTTTTGTTAAAAGCCTTATTATATTCGTTAGAAACAATATTGAAGAAATCTGTATAAAGTTTGTTAGGTTCATTAGATGGAAGATAAAAATCTAATTTACTACGAACTGATATTTTAAATTTATTTATCTTATAACTAGTCAAGTCTCTTTTTAATAAATTAATTTTCCCAATTTTGTTTAAGTGATTTGGAAAAATAACTATTTGACCACAGTGATCAGAAGGAAGGTTGTTTATTATTATTTTATCTAAATACTCACTGTTGCTAAATATGTTATCCAAGCAAGTAGCAGACGTGGCAGTGATACGAGTGGGTTCGTGGAAGACATTACTCAAGTCAAAGGACTGAAATAAACTCATTAATTTAGTTTTTGTGGTATTATGTGATAAAATGTCAACATTGAAATCACCACACACTATAATTTTTTTGTTAATATTAAATACTCTTTTTAAAATATCCTCCATTACCTCTTCAAATAAATTATAATCACTATTTGGAGGTCTATAAACACATATAACGTTTAAAAACGTTTAAAAACAATTCAGTTTAAGGCCGTAAACTGAACTGCCTGGAAACTGACTGGATTTTAAAGAGTTCATAATACGCCCCCAGGGGACTGAATTGTTCTTTTTCGTATTATGAGGGTCCAAATTCAAACCGTATTCTGCCTGGATAGTTTGTCTCTGGCTGGTTAGTGGATTTTCTCGCGCTGCGTTCGGATACGCATACATTCATTGCAGCGTTAAGTCGAGTTTTTGTATGTCACTTTTTGGACAAAATATTAATTAAATAAATGTAAATTAAATATAGAAAACAGTAAATAAGATACAATGGTAGAATTTGTGTAATATACAAAAATATTCCAGACAGTTTTATTGCCTTTTTTAATAATTCGGATTTATTTGTAAAAAATATTTTCATTGTAATATCCAAACGAACTTTGTGCATCTACTACTTAAAATTACGCGCAAAGTACTTAATTCTGATTTTAATGTACAATTTGAAACTTAGCCTTTCCATAACTTTATACGCAAGTTAAATTTAATAATTCAATTATTGTGAAAAATATACCTAATGTAACGTAAGTATTCCTAACATTTTCTTAGTAATGTTTTTTTTTAAAATGATGCAAATATTTGTACATTTATCTAACTAAATTGTAGATCACGGACTGAAACCTCTCGCCAACGTCGTGTATCGTACCGGTAATTTGAAATTATATGGGATTTTTAAAATCCCATAGGGAAATATCAAGTGGCTTTAATAAGTCCGCCCAAGAATACCATACCAATCGCTTGTGTGAGGACGTCGCTCAACAATTAAACTCTTTAGGAAAAGGGGGTTTTAAAGACTGGAAAGGATTGTCAAGTTTAAGTGTTATAAGGTAACCATCTGAATTTTAATTTATTTCATTGAATAGGAATCTCAGTAAAATCTGAAATACATGTATCTATGCAAATAAATTGAAGTATCTGTTTGTTATTTTGAAGTTCACCATACAACAGCTTTTCATTAAATTCATACATATATAAGGTAAGATAAATAACATTAAAAAAAAAATATTTGTCTGTTCGTTTGTTTTTTCATGCTAATCTTTGAAACAGCTGGACCAAATTTGAGGGATACTTTCACTGTCATATGTAATGAGTCGTGTAAAGGAGTAACTTAAGTTACTTTTATTTGAGATATTTATTTTAACAAAAACTAGGTATGCCATATGGACAAAATCATAGGTAATAACTAGTATATAATAAAATTATCATATCCCTTTAATTATAACTACCAATAAAAGACATAAATTATGTAGCTATATCATTTATTATAAAAACAAATAATTAAAACATTGGCCTATTAACAATATTATTATTTATAAATGTTTCAATTTCTTAGTTCCACAACTAAACAACATGGGTTTGTCTAGCAGCTAGACCTTCATTTAGTTTTCTATAAGAGCTCAAAGTACATGTAGGCATCTAAATCTAGAAGCCCAATTGTGCTCTCAATGATATTCCATCTTCTTCCAGTGTAATATGGTTCTTGTGGTCCTGGTATAGCATTTGAGATGGGAGTATACTTCTCTAAAGCATATCCTGGTTCTCCTAAAAAAAAACAACATATTATATACTATAATATTAATATTTATTTACAAAAAGTATTATTTCATTAAAAACACAGCACAATAACTGTTGGTGCTGATAAATAACTATGTTTCTAAATTACTGAAGTTTACAGCTTAGATGTAATGATGTTTGTAGTTTCATAATAAAATTTTGTGCTTACCAAGTAATCATAAGGATTTATTCCAGCTTAAGTCCTCTAGATGTTGCTTAGTGCCTCTGGCTTGCCCAAATGTCATGAGTAGCTCCAGTTCCAGTTGGCATCCACACTTATAATCTCCATGTCAGCATTACTAACCTAAATTTTTTTTCCAGATTAATTACATAGATGAAGATTATTTGAAACATAACAGAATAATTAATGGATAAATATTATTTGAAACATATGAGATTAATTACATGGATACAGATTATTTGAAACATATGTCTAAGTGTTATGGTCATTTAATATTTAAGTAAACAATTTATTGTGAGTATATTAGTAGCTTTAGAGATGTATAATCATTAACATATTTTGCATGTCTAAAATCTTGTTTATTGTTAATTTATATAATTATATTAAAAAAAGATATTAAAAGTGCTTATATTATTAAACATGTCTTTTAATTTATATTTCACTTACCAATTATATATTTAATGAATGGTATTGTTTTCTACAGCAATATCTCTTCTTAATTTACAATTGGGTGGCATGTGTACAGTCAAATACAGCCCAATACACCCAGCATTCCAAATTCCAATTATAAAACCTAAAATATAATTAATTTAATTTAATTAATTGTCCTCGGAGGAAATTGCCGGAGAGACTGCACATCATCAGACTGTTGGCTTTACTTGTATGCATACATTTTACCATATATATTATCACTATATCATATGGTGTGGTACATGGTACTCATAGATGTATTTGCAACAATAACAGTTGCTAATTGTATAGAAATAGACACCTTTGAATATTTATTATCTATCCTTTACTCAGATGTCCTTGGAATTTTATATATGTATTTACTTTTGGATGTTGGGTAAATGCAATAAATCGGTTATTTGCCATTGGCTGTGCTAGCGAATGGACAGCAATATCACTAGTAGGCCGTTGATAAATATGCCTGTAGCATAAATAATAATGCTACTAAAATCTGACATAGTCAGCTACTGATTTAGTGAAATAATTACAATACATTTTAGTAAAGTTATATACCTTAGTTTCCACTGGTAGGTCTGTAAATTTCGATGATACCGGCATATGAGTTCACACGCATATTACGCACCAAATCTTTATTGAGATTATAACGTTTTATAAATTGTTCATTGTCTATATCAATTGGATTGGATTGGTCGCGTAATCGCCGTCTTTTCACTTTCCTTCCTTCTTTTTCGTAGGGTGCACACATTTCCAAAAACTCCAATACTTCGAGTTCATCACACATAATTATAATTAAAACGAAACAAAAACAATCGAAATAACTTCACAAACATGTTATAAACATAATAAAAACTGACATAGAAATAGAAATAATAACCAAATTACAATAATGAAGCTATAAATTAGAAAACAATTCTATAAAAGCTAATATGAAGCCACCGTAAACTGAATTGTTTTTAAACGTCAGTTTAAAAACAATTTGACAGTTGCGTCCGCTTAGATCTGTCAAATGAAACGCTCATAATACGAAATAGCCGGTCAGTTTTCGGGCAGAAGACGTTCAGCTGTCACGTGACCGCTGACTGGCTGGCTAATAGCGTTCGTAATACGAAATCGCCAGGCAGTTCAGTTTAAGCCGTAAACTGAATGGGAATAAGAGTTCATAATACGGCCCCAGGGGGCGTATTATGAACTCTTTAAAATCCAGTCAGTTTCCAGGCAGTTCAGTTTACGGCCTTAAACTGAATTGTTCTTTTTCGTATTATGAGGGTCCAAATTCAAACCGTATTCTGCCTGGATAGTTTGTCTCTGGCTGGTTAGTGGGTTTTCTCGCGCTGCGTTCGGATACGCATACATTCGTTGCAACGTTAAGTCGAGTTTTTGTATGTCACTTTTTGGACAAAATATTAATTAAATAAATGTAAATTAAATATAGAAAGCAGTAATTAAGATACAACGGTAGAATTTGTGTAATATACAAAAATATTCCAGACAGTTTTATGGTCTTTTTTAATAATTCGGATTTATTTGTAAAAAATATTTTCATTGTAATATCCAAACGAACTTTGTGCATCTACTTAAAATTCCGCGCAAAGTACTTAATTCCGATTTTAATGTACAACTTGAAACTTAGCCTTTCCATAACTTTATACGCAAGTTAAATTTAATAATTCAATTATTGTGAAAAATATACCTAATGTAACGTAAGTATTCCTAACATTTTCTTAGTAATGTTTTTTTAAAATGATGCAAATATTTAAATGTTTATATTTGTATATTTATCTAACTAAATTGTAGATCACGGCCTACGTCGTGTATCGTACCGGTAATTTGAAATTATATGGGATTTTTAAAATCCCATAGGGAAATGGCAAGTGGCTTTAATAAGTCCGCCCAAGAATACCATACCAATCGCTTGTGTGAGGACGTCGCTCAACAATTACACTCCTTAGGAAAAGGGGGTTTTAAAGACTGGAAAGGATTGTCAAGTTTAAGTGTTATAAGGTAACCATCTGAATTTTAATTTATTTCATTTAATAGGAATCTCAGTAAAATCTGAAATACATGTATCTATGCAAATAAATTGAAGTATCTGTTTGTAATTTTGAAGTTCACCATACAACAGCTTTTCAGTAAATGCATACATATAGAAGGTAAGATAAATGACATTAAAAAAAAATAGTTGTCTGTCCGTTTGTTTGTTCTTGCTAATCTTTGAAACAGCTGGACCAAATTTGAGGGATACTTTCACTGTCATATGTAATGAGTTGTGTAAAGGAGTAACTTAAGTTGCTTTTATTTGAGATATTTTATTTATTTTAACAAAAATTAGGTATGCCATATGGACAAAGTCATAGGTAATAACTAGTATATAATACAATTATCATATCCCTTTAATTATAACTACCAATAAAAGACATAAATAATGTACCTATATCATTTATTATAAAAACAAATAATTAAAACATTGACCTATTAACAATATTATTATTTATAAATGTTTCAATTTCTTAGTTCCACAACTAAACAACATGGGTTTGTCTAGCAGCTAGACCTTCATTTAGTTCTCTATAAGAGCTCAAAGTACATGTAGGCATCTAAAACTAGAAGCCCAATTGTGCTCTCAATGATATTCCATGATCTTACAGTGTAATATGCTTCTTGTGGTCCTGATATAACATTTGAGATGGGAGTATACTTCTCCAAAGCATATCCTGGATCTCCTAAAAAAAAAAAAACAACATATTATATACTATAATATTAATATTTATTTACAAAAAGTATTATTTCATTAAAAACACAGCACAATATCTGTTGGTGCTGATAAATAACTATGTTTCTAAATTACTGAAGTTTAGAGCTTAGATGTAATGATGTTTGTAGTTTCATAATAAAATTTTGTGCTTACCAAGTAATCATAAGGATTTATTCCAGCTTAAGTCCTCTAGATGTTGCTTAATGCCTCTGGTTTGCCCAAATGTCATGAGTAGCTCCAGTTCCAGTTGGCATCCACACTCATAATGTCCATGTCAGCATTACTAACCTAAATTTTTTTTCCAGATTAATTACATAGATGAAGATTATTTGAAACATAAGAGAATAATTAATGGATAAATATTATTTGAAACATATGACATTAATTACATGGATACAGATTATTTGAAACATATGTCTAAGTGTTATGGTCATTTTATATTTAAGTAAACAATTTATTGTTAGTAGGTATATAAGTAGCTTTAGAGATGTATAATCATTAACATATTTTGTATGTCTAAAATCTTGTTTATTGTTAATTTATATAATTATATTAAAAAAAGATATTAAAAGTGCTTACATTATTAAACATGTCTTTTAATTTATATTTCACTTACCAATTATATATTTAATGAATGGTATTGTTTTCTACAGTAATATCTCTTCTTAATTTACAATGGGGTGGCATGTGTACAGTCAAATACAGCCCAATACACTCAGCATTCCAAATTCCAATTATAAAACCTAAAATATAATTAATTTAATTTAATTAATTGTCCTCGGAGGAAAGTGCCGGAGAGACTGCACATCATCAGACTGTTGCATACTTGTATACTTGCTTTCTAGGCTCTACTTGTATGCATACATTTTACCATATATATTATCACTATATCATATGGTATGGTACATGGTACTCATAGATGTATTTGCAACAATCACAGTTGGTAATTGTATAGAAATAGATACCTTTGAATATTTATTATCTATCCTTTACTCAGATGTCCTTGGAATGTTATATATGTATTTACTTTTGGATGTTGGGTAAATGCAATAAATCGGTTATTTGCCATTGGCTGTGCTAGCGAATGAAGAGCAATATCACTAGTAGGCCGTTGATACGAGCCTGCAGCATAAATAATAACCTGACATAGTCAGCTAGTGATTTAGTGAAATAATTACAATACAATATACCTTAGTTTCCACTGGTAGGTCTGTAAATTTCGATGATACCGGCATATGAGTTCGCACGCATATTACGCACCAAATCTTGATTTAGATTATAACGTTTTCTAAATTGTTTATTGTCTATATCAATTGGATTGGATTGGTCGCGTAATCGCCGTCTTTTCACTTTCCTTATTTCTTTTTCGTAGGGTGCACACATTTCCAAAAACTCCAATACTTCGAGTTCATCACACATAATTAAAATTAAAACGAAACAAAAACAATTGAAATAACTGCACAAACATTTTATAAACATAATAAAAACTGACATAGAAATAGAAATAATAACCAAATTACAATAATGAAGCTATAAATTAGAAAACAATTCTATAAAAGCTAATATGAAGCCACCGTAAACTGAATTGTTTTTAAACGGTCTTTTTGACAGCTGCGTCCGCTTAGATCTGTCAAATGAAACGCTCATAATACGAAATAGCCGGTCAGTTTTCGGGCAGAAGACGTTCAACTGTCACGTGACCGCTGACTGGCTGGCTAATAGCGTTCGTAATACGAAATCGCCAGGCAGTTCAGTTTAAGCCGTAAACTGAATGGGAATAAGAGTTCATAATACGGCCCCAGGTCTGCTCAGATAATTATGACTGATTTGTTTTGTTACTCAAGTAACAATCCATTTATTTATGTCAACTTTGCTATGTGGCAGTATGTATTCAGACAAAATTCCTAAAAATGTAATTTTGAAGAATATTTGTTTAAAAGAGCAACACGCATGTTTTTGGTAGGTCTTCTTGTTATAAGTCTGCGTTCCGAATGAGTAGTAGAACAAAAAATATGACTATTCAAAAGTGCTTATATTAAGTTTATTTGAATAAACATTAATTTTATTTCTAAATACTAAAATTAAATTGTTATTCGAGTTTGTCCGTCTGTAGTAGCGTTATATATATTACGCCGTTAAGTTTTCGACATATTTTGAAAAATGCCTTTCATCTTATCTCAGATGTTTCCAAACAAATAAGCCTTACTAATATTATAAATTGCAAAAGTAGCTCTGTCTGTCTGTCTGTCTCGCTTTCACGTCAAAACTGCTGGATCGATTTGAATGAAATTTGGTACACAGAGATACTCTGGACCCTGAAGATTGACATTGGCTACTTTTTAATGTGATAAAAGGTTCATAAGTGGTTGAAACGGGAGATGAAAGTTTGTATGGAAAATCACCATTTATGAAGCTAGGACGATGTAACATTTTTCTTTGGATAATTTGAATTAGATTATTGAATATTTTTTCATTATTTCTCCAAAGTCACTATAAAACGCGGACGATATCACGTGAACAGCTAGTATGAAATAAATATGATCTATAAAGGTATACTTAATAACATATTTGGATAATCCGTTCGGGACTCTAAAAATAAATAAAAAGTCATTGAACGAACAAAAAATGTTTTCGACAATTTATTTCGACAATGCAAACAGCCATTAACACAATTAAACAACTTTCGAGTCAGTTTATTTAATCGCAGTTTGTGCTTATAGGACCATCCATAAACTACACGTCACAATTTTTTTATCCCCCCTTCGACTTTGTCACAGCTCGTCACATTTCCACGCAAAAAGTTGAATTGCCGTAACTTAAAAATGTAACTTTACACCGGAGCTAAAACATTGTTTTAAAAATTCTTAAGTCATACGTCACACAGTATTCATCATTTTCTATCTCCCCTTGGTCTTTGTCACAGCTCGTCACATTTCTACGCAAAAGTGGAATTGTCGTAACTTATTAAAATAAACTTTACACCTGAGCCAAATAAGTGTTTGAAAGGTCATATATTTATTGAGATAGAAAGTTGAAAATTGGTTAAATACATAAAATTTTGTGAAATTAGATTTTAAAGTTACGACAGTTCCACTTTCTTCTGTCGATTTGTGAAATTGTTCTCTTACTATTAGCACAAATGACATAATTGCTTTTAGTGTTGACGTTGCACATGTTTTCTAATTGTTTATAATATGATAAATGATAAAACATGATGGAACAGCAGTTCCGAAATTAACACTATATCAAATATTTTTGTTATTAGTATCAATCGAATGAATTAAATTATAAATTAATTATAATGGACTACACTTGTACACCTCCAACCCTTTGTCACATAATGTCACACTTCATCCCTACCATCCGCGTTAACGCGTAAAATTAAAACAGTTCCAATATTGATATTATGTACATATATCATTCTTTTAATTAAAATGAATCAATTTTTAATAAAGTATTTTACAAATATGGTTATAAAGGACTCTACTTGAACTTCTCCCACCCATTGTCAACCAATGTCACACTTCATCCCTACCATAACCATCCGTTAACGCGTAAAATTAAAACAGCAGTTCCAACATTAACATTATGTCTATAATTTTTGTAATTAAAATAAATCAAATTTTAAAACGTATTATAAATATAGTTAAGGACTTTTCTCACCCATTGTCAACCAATGTCACACTTCATCCCTACGATTCCCGTCCCATAAAATGTGCGGTAATTTATATATGGTCCCTTACAAAACAACAGGACAATTTCAAGGTACCCTACAATTAATTATCACGAGTACAGTAATAACGAATCTTAATTGTTTACATTTAACAATAATCGGCAAGCAAACGCTAGACTTAGGTCCTAATTGTAATTGTAAGATATATTTACATTATACAAGTACAAAATGATTTCACTAATTTATACTACGGGTACACTTGTAATACTTTGCGACATCCCTGATCAATAAGGCCTGGCTTGCGCCACATCTCATTCACTTCAATCTAATACTTAAACCAACTACTTAACTTACATTGTTATTTTGACTATTCGATTTGTTAATAAGGTTATAAATTAAAACGGGCTATACACATCGATATTAGGGGCAGGGAGGAAAAGGGTATTGTTAGTAATGTGGACTAATGATCTTATTGCTAGCAATGTAGGTACCATGTCAGGTTGACCTCCACGTGGTTCCCTGGAAACCATCGTGATAAACTTTCGGTGATTTGTCACGATGGGCTAATTGAAATGACCTCATATTCATCATATCACCTTCCAGGCAGTATTCTATTATCATCCATAAAAAAACCATCAGGGGCACTAAAGATGGAATTAATAAAGTGCGCTACACACGACGCAATTTGAAAACCAACCCAGGGCGCTCTCCAACACTACTCCTATGATTTTAGTATCATGTGTAGGCCATTTATTGCGATAAATTTCAGCGTATAATTATGCAAACAAAAAAGTCAAAAGATCTGTTTACAGTAATCTTGATCGTATTGTTCTATAAAAGGCTATGGTCATGGTTGTTTTTATATACTTTGTAAAATATATGACTGGATTTACGTCATAGAAAAAATATTCAATGCTAACATATCTTTTAGATTTCATGTGTTATTTAATGAAATTTACGCAGGTATAAACATATTTTAACGAATTAGGTGTTATTTTGCAGAAAGTAATTTCATTATTTAATAGATTTGTATTATTTTGATTACTTTGTTAAATTACTCTCGACCGTGCGAAGTCGAGGCAAGTTGCTATTGATTTATAAATCCATATATACCTAAAGGCCAACACTTCGCAAACGTTAAAGTATGTGCCTATATAAAGGTACATAAGGTCGTAATACACCATATCTAGACTTAATCGTATCCCGATTTGGCATAAAATGACGTCTCGTCATCCTCGGATTTTGCAGGTCTTCGAATGAACCTCGAAAGTTGTATTGTTGACTGCCATGTACATGGCACAATTCTAAATTAATAAAAGATATTTCTGCTTGCTTCCTTGAATGCCATTGGTGGACAAAAGTATGAAAGTAGCTTGAATCATCAGTGATGATGATTAAAAACCTAGGGGTAAAAACCCCTATATATACAATAAACTTCTGTAAATTTACGCATGCCGTGGCAACAAGTAATTAAGTCAACATTATATACCTGACATTTTTGCAAGAGATAATAATTGTAACTTCATAGTGTATATCTTGTTGGTCGCTCAAATAAATAAAATAAGTATATATGTATATATTTGTGGTCGGCGCAGTATGTTATCCTCTTCCACTGATCACTATTAGCCATCATATCTCAGCATACTCTCCTTTTATTCATATCTTTCACACAACTTGATAGTAGGTTGAATATGGTGCAGAGAATGATCTTTAAGGGGGTCAGCAGTCGCTGTTGTCGATACCTACCTACTTATACGAATATAATTGAGTATGTATTGATTGAGTATACTGAACATGTTAATTATGTAATTCATAAGTGTATTGAAATTGTAATTAAGTAAGTGAATTAATCTTATTAGTTTTAACTAATTATTACAATGTAATTTTAGTTATAATAATGTAATTGCGGTGCCCCTACCGGGTATCACATGTCTTATGTTCTTATTTTTATTAACAACACCTACTCTATGTACCATGTCAGAAGCAATTAAATTAAAAATTTACTAAAATATTTACCGTCTTGATACAGTTTTGTATTATTTTATTAAACGTCCATTTTATATATAAATTTACTGGTTCTGTATTTCATATTTTTAAATTAATCATCAATATTTATTTAACAAGAAACGAAGAATTAAGTTTTCCTCTTGAGTATTACGTTTGTTCTATACAATTTTGTATTATGTAATTCTATTACATATAATAATAATATTATTTATTTGTCTCAAATAATGAACTGTTACAATGTGCTTATAATAAAAGTAAGCGGTATTCAACTCAGTCGGCAGTAAGTCCACCCTCTTTGCTATTCTGTTAAGGCAATAGCCTTTATCAGTAAATGATTACAATAAAAACATAACACGTTTATTACGGACACAATATTTTCGTGATATAACGGATAAAAGTTCAAAATTTTATTTCGATTTTAATTTTTCTTTTTTTTTCGGATTCTAATGCCGTTGGGCATTAGAATAGCTGCTGGCCTTTACAGCTTCACCGGACGATAGGGGGCAAGTGCAGATGGCACTCCAAACATGCGGAAGGCTGAAGGAGCCCGCCTGACGGATGCGACTTTAGTCCGAGGGCACCGCTAAG